CATCCTTCCTCCTCTGGTCTGAGGCGGAAGGCCAGTTCTCTGCACCCACCTCACCCCCTGGCCCACGGGTCCTCAAACTTTTTAAAGTGGGGGCCAGATCACGGTCCCTCAGAGAGCTGGAGGGCCGGACTATATGAACTACTAATTCCTACTGTAACACCTCGGCTGTGCTCACTGCCCAAAAAACCTGGCGGGCCGGATCAGACTCCTCTGCGGGCCGCATGTGGCCCGCGGGCCGTAGTTTGAAGACGCCTGCGGGCCTGGCCAGTGTGGTCTAGCATTACCCCTCGGCCCTGCTCTTTATTTATTTTTTATTTTATTTTATTTTTTTAAAAAAATATATTTTATTGATTTTGTACAGAGAGGAAGGGAGAGAGATAGAGAGCTAGAAACATCGATGAGAGCTAGAAACATCGATGAGAGAGAGTCATCGATCAGCTGCCTCTTGCACACCCCCCACTGGTGATATGCCCGCAGCCAAGGTACATGCCCTTGACCGGAATCGAACCCGGGTCCCTCAGTCCCCAAGCCGACGCTCTATCCATTGAGCCAAACCGGTCTCAGCTCGGCCCTGCTCTTTAAAGTCTGAGGGGAAGGGAAGGGGAGGAGCAAGATATGATGGGCCACGGGGCTCACAGAGGGTCTTTCCTGCTCAGAACCTCAGAAGAATCTGGAGGGAGTTCAGCATATTTTAACAAATAGCCCCTGAGCTGAATGTGGATTTTTTAAAAGAGGGATAGATACCTACCAGCGTACCATTTTCTAGGTAAGTGGAATTGTGGGTGTTTTTCTTCTTGTGGCTTATCTATATTTTCTAGTATTTCAGTAATGACTTTAAATTGCTTTAAAGTAAGAAATTTGCCAAAGCCGGTTTGGCTCAGTGGTAGAGCGTCGGTCTGCGGACTGAAAGGTCCCAGGTTCGATTCCGGTCAAGGGCATGTACATTGGTTGCGGGCACATCCCCGGTAGGGTATGTGCAAGAGGCAGCTGGTCGATGTTTCTCTCTCAACGACGTTTCTAGCTCTCTATCTCTCTCCCTTCCACTCTGCAAAAAATCAATAAAATATATTAAAAATATATATATATATATAAAATAAATTGCTTTAAAGTAAGAAATTTAAAAATCTATTTTTAAAGAGATGAAAATTGCAGAGTGTTGTGCATCTCTGTCACCTAGCTCGGGACAGTGTGCAATGGAGAGTGGATGAACTGAGAATCAGAGAGGCTTGGTTGACATCCTGTCTGCTCCTGGTCATTTGGGCAACCGGGAATATGCGCCTTCTTTACGGCCATCGGCTCCTTCCTCTCTAAAAGGGGCAGTGGTACCTGTCACACAATGGGATGGCATATGCAGTGCATTGGGTGAGCACACAGGCTCTGGTTCAGCTCTGGCCACATATTAACCTTTTCACTTTGAACAGATTACTCAAGTTTTAGTTTCCTCATCCCTAAAACAGAGCTGCTGAGGATAACACTGCCTCTTACTCCTGTTGTAAGTATTGTTGAAGAAAGTTCCAGGCCGGGCCCTGGCACCCAGCAAGCCCCCGTAAGCATTAGCTGTGTGAAAAGTGCCTGACAAGCGTTAGTATGGCTTTTATTCATGTAATTCCCACCCTTTCTTTCCCTTCCCTCTTCCGCAAAAGCAAGAAGCAGTAGGCAGGGTCCCAGTGGAAAGGGACAGGGGACATGGACAAACAGGAGGGGAGGAAAAGGGGAGCAAGGAAAGAAGAAAGCAAAGGACGAGGCTCTTTATCCTGGGTGACCTTTGGTCTCTTCTTCCTCATCACCTTCCCCCCACACACAGCCGAGTCCTGGGAGCAAAGGAAGCAGAGGCCAGTCTCTGAGGCCAACCCCTGTGCCCTGCTGGCACCTTCACACTCTGCTCCTTCCCCCAGCAGAAACCCCAGTCCATCATGTCTCCCCCCCAGGCAGGACTAACACAATGAGCCATCTTTCCATTAGGGGAGTCCTGCGTGGAGGGTACTAGGATTTAGTCTTCTTCCTGGCAAAGCCAGATGACCCATCACCATTTCCATCGCTTCCTGGGAAGGACTGGGAAACAGCAGTTGGTTTTAGAGGGGTTCTGCCATCCCCAGTTGTAAGTCCTGAGCCACTTCCTTACTTAACCTTATCGCCTCCTCTGCCCATAACTGGGTCTAATGAGGGGATGGGTATTAACGGTGCGTTTTCATGTGTGCCGGAGGTGGGTGTCCCAATGTGAGTGGGTGAGCAGCAGCTTGAGAGGGAAGCTGCTCTTGCCACTCTGAGTGTGAGAGAGAGGAGTAGGCTCTGCCAGCTCGGAGGAACTTCGGTGTCTGCTTTGAGAGGCCCAGGGCACACCTGGGTCCTTGCCTTCCTGAATCCTCTCTGCTTGCCTCTCCTCGGCATGAATGACACTCAGAGCCATGGGGCTAATCCTGAAAGTTGGAAGGGAGTTGCACATTGTTGAGTGGAAGGCACTGACTGTCTTGAGATGACTCGGGTGCGGGGAGAGACCTCACAGGCACTTCCTCCTGGATGAGACCCCTCATTCACTCTCCTCCCAAGAGGGACCAGGTAATGGGGTTAAAAGGTAGGGCTCCTCCCTAAATTCTAGGATTCTTATGTATTTTTAAGCCAAGGAGTTTGAGGAGTGTGTGGGTAAAAGGGAGGAGGAGATTCATGCAAGTCCTGGGCTTGGGAAATGGGTTAGGAAAACCAGAGGAGATGGAAGGACAGAGGGAGAGACCCATATATGAATGGAGGAGGGGAGGGTGCCACAGCTACATGGAGAAGGTGATGCCATAGCTGGAGGGGCTGAGGGGCTTCACGGGGGAAGGGGACGGAGACCACTGCCTGGGCCTGCAGGAACAGGTGCGGCCTGCTAAGGGTGTGTGTTTGGGGGGAGGCTGGGGGTCGGTGGGTACACCAGGCCTTGTCCATCCTTCCTTTCCTTCTTTCTCAAGGGCCAAAACTCCTCCTCCTCCTTCCCTCTTCCTCGGGAAGGAGGAGAGGAGGACGGTCTCTTGCCCGCTGTCCTTAAATCGGTTCCCCAACCATACCCCACCCCCACCCCCACCCTATACTGTCCTTTTAAGCGTCTGAGGCTCTTCTTCTCCATCTCCCAGCTGGGCCAAGCTGGGCCGCAGCGTCCCTCCCCTCCGCTCCGCTCCTCTCCATCCCCACAGGCGTCGGGTCCAGGTCTACAGCTCCTCCATTCCCACAACCTCAGCATCCCCGCGGCACCCTCCCCCACCCGCCACAGCTGCATCCCGACCCTCCCTCGCCACCGGGATCGCAGGACCCGGGCCCATCCCTGCCCCCTCCCCTCCCCCCGACTCGGCCCGGCTCTCACCTCGGGGGCTCCGCGGCCGCAGCACAAAAGGCGGCGCTGCTGCAGCTCGGCTCCGGATGCTGCTCCCGCCTCCTCCTCCTTCTCCTCCTCCTCTCCTCCCCCCGCTGCCCTCCACCGGACCCGGGGCGCCTTCAGAGGCGATGCTCGCGCGGGGTACCGGTGTCAGCCCCAGATGTCTCCCCCCACCCCCCAGCCCCTAGCCCCGTCCCTGCTGCGCTTGAACTCCCGCTCCTTCCCAGGCCCCGGCCCCTGGCCCCCCGGGACGGACACGCCCTGAGCGGGGGATGCTACGCCGGCGCCGCCGGCCTCTTAAAGGAGCCCGCCGCTGCCACCCGGTGCTCTCCGGGCTGGTCCCTGTCTGTCCGGGGCCCCCGCCTCCCACCGCGGGCCTTATGCTGATTCCATAGGCGCCCCTAAGGCCAGTCCTATAATCCCCGCCTACACCCCGAGGCAGTAGCCCCTGCGACGGGAAAACACCCCACCCTGCGCACCAGCACTGCTCCCCCAGTCAGACCGATTTTGCCAGCTTTCCTTCCCCGAATTGTCACCGCTCCAGTCCCAGCCAATGGGAATCCTCTCAGCCCAACTCCCGCCCCCTTCCGTGTTCCAGGATGACCCCCGATAGTCCAAGATTCTCCTGGACCCCCACCCCGGCCCGGCCTTCTCTTCCCGGACCCACTCTTAGGACACCCATTAGAACCGGAAAATTTTCGTGATTTCTTTCCCTGCAAGGTCACAAGATTTTCCCTTCACCTTTCCGTTCAGGGGCTGTGAGACTTTGGGAAGGAGGGACTGGACCTCGGAGAGTCAGATGAGCCGACTGTTTTAAGAGGCCAACATTTTTTCTGGCTCTCAGCTGAGACCCCAGACCCAGGGCGGCGGCGATGAGACCACCGCGTGCTTTAGTCCTTCCAACCCTGCCGTCCCCTGACTCTCAGGCTCCGGAGGGGTCTCCTGGCCGGCCACAGAGGCTCCCTAGGGCGAACCCGGGAACAGCCACAGAGGCTCCCTAGGGCGAACCCGGGAACAGCCACAGAGAGGTTCTTTCTAAAAAGGCTTTAGAAAAGAAATGGACACCGACAGGCTGCGGGGCAGAATTACACGGGAAGAGAGGTAAAGGGAAAACCTAGGAAGAGGAAGCAGGTTCTGTGAGACGAAGGCCCGGACGCCGGGGGCCTCGGCTGAGGGTCAAGATGAACTGTCTGAGAGGGACTCGCACTCGGAGGGGCCGGGAGCGGTGCTCCCCCGTCCCGGGCAGGCCGCCCCTCCCAGAGGGCGAACAGTCAGCACCCGACGGCAGCCTGACCGCTGGCCAATCACAACCTTCTCTCCAGAGGGGGCGGGGCTAAAGGGACTGACTTTTTCCTTGTCCCGCCCCTCTCGGGGGAAAGTAACCAATCGCAATACACCTAGAGCAAGTAAGCGCAGTCGGGAATAACCAATGGCGCCGGAAGCTTCTCGTGCCAGCTTGACCCTGCCCCCCCAGCTGCGACAAACGTGACCCGCGAGCTGCGGGGTTCGGTAGTTTTCTGGGCACTGGACACCTTGCCCCCATCCCTCCCCATCCCCGCAGGGGTTCGCCCTACTGCCCGCCCCAGCTGCTTCCACGCTGCCAATGCGCATGTCCGGAGCTCCCTCCTTTCCCCGCCTCTCCCCCCCAGCCAGGGGAGAGGAGGCGCGGAAGGAAGGAAGGAGGCGGGATAGTATTTAAAACAAACAACCCACCCTCATCTCGGAGAGCGACTGTGCAGGGGTCCGCTCCTCCCAGAAGGCGGCGCTGCCTGCGAGGGCGGGCCGCGCGGAGGCTTGTGGGGCGGATAGCTCCCCTGCTGCTGGAGACGCATGGAGGCGGGCGGGCGGGGGGACTCTATGTCCCAGAATGCCCCACGGCGGGCCCGACCGGCCGCTACTCCGGGCTTGGCCCCGGCCCTAGCCTGTCGGCGGTGTATTGGGGCGCGTGGAGGCAGAAGTCACGGTGGCGCTCGCGGGGACGGAGGAGGGAATGAGTGAGGAGGAGCAGGGCTCCGGCACTACCACGGGCTGCGGGCTGCCCAGGTGAGCGGCCTGGCAGCGACCACTGCGGGGCGAAGAGCGTGGCGCCGTGCGGAGGGGTAGCGGCGCGGCCCCAGCATGCACCTGGCCTGGGGGTTGTTCCCGGCAAGCACTGGGGTATTGGGCCGCGGTTCCCGGCATCCACCCATCCACCCGAGCAGTGGCCACAGCCTCCAGCTCGAAATAGTTTGGGGGCTGGTCCGGTTCCCAGACTGCATTGGGGCATTGGGCTTTATGCCCCCGACATTCAGTGCATTTGGTGGGTAACTGAGTACCTGGCTGCACTGTGTTAGGGGACATGCACTTCCAACCTGCACTCGGGTGCAGAATCCCACGCCTTAACTCAGGCAGGAACAGTGCATTCCCCGCTTGCCCTAGGGCAGTGGACCCTGCTTTCCCAGCCTGCACCCCTAAACATTGAACCTGGCCTATGACTGCTGTGCTGCCTGAGGTCCCCTGGACCTTGTGACCCCTCATAGTGTGCCTGGGTCTGATACAGCAGTGGTTGGCCAGGTGGGTGCAGAGAGGGGAGGTGTGATGAGGGTCTGTGCCCCTCCCCCCCAGTATAGAGCAAATGCTGGCAGCCAACCCAGGCAAGACCCCGATCAGCCTTCTGCAGGAGTATGGAACCAGAATAGGGAAGACGCCCGTGTACGACCTTCTCAAAGCCGAGGGCCAAGCCCACCAGCCTAATTTCACCTTTCGGGTCACCGTTGGCGACACCAGCTGCACTGGTGAGGAAGGCGTGGGTCAGCCTTGCTGGGGTGTTCATTCACAGGGCCCCCCTGGCTTTATTTCTTGGAGTCTCTTCACAGTCCTCTTCTCCAAGAGCAGTGAGGGAGGGAGAGGTTTCAGGGCGGAAAGCCACGGGCTGGATTGGGAGAACAGGTCTGTGCGGAGGTGGGTAGTTCTTGGGAGAGTTAGAGGAGCAAACAAGATAGCCACAGCGATCTGACACATCGTCAGCATCCTAGAGGGAAAAGAAAAGGAGACAAACCGAACTCTCAGCAAAGTGTTTGGGGAGTGAGTGTCAGCTGTGGTGGGCTCTGTAGCAGGTGCTTAATTAAATTCCTGTTCAATCACACACCTCAGTCTAATCCAGTGATGTAGGTGGTAGTGCCCTCATGTTGAATAGGAGGAGACAGGTCCAGAGGGATTCAATGACTGGTGCAAGGTCACACATTCTTAGTAAGTCAGAGCCAGGCTTTGATGCTAGAACCTACCTTATGTCTATTTTTCCAACCATCTCCATTTACTGAGAGAAAGTGCTTCCCAAAGGAAAGTAAGGCGGAGAAAGAATCGCCACCCAAGGTGTCTGAGCTCAGGAGCACTTCCGTCTGGCATGGCCTGGTTTGGGGTTGGTCAGTGAGGAGGAGCTTGGTTGACTCGCTGTAGCTGTGGGATGCTGGTTTCTCTCCCAGTGACCTCCAGTATTGCCCACGCCCCCTCTCTCAGGTCAGGGCCCCAGCAAGAAGGCAGCCAAGCACAAGGCAGCTGAGGTGGCCCTCAAACACCTCAAAGGGGGGAGCATGCTGGAGCCGGCCCTGGAGGACAGCAGGTGAGGGAGGAACAGCTGAGGCATCCTAGAGGCCCTGCCAGGAGCCCAGGCCCCTGCGTCAGCCCCTTTGCCCAGGAGGCCTGACCTGGTGACACTTAGCCACCTTGATCTTCTCTTCCTGAGCTTCCTCTGGACCTGAGCAGGGCGCTTCCTGGGGGAAATGGCCAGCTCCGCGGAGGGACTGTGGCTGTGGTTTGGGGTTCTGGCTAAGGAGGGGGCGGGGTGGAGGCTGAGGCTGGAGGGTGTTGCCTTCTCCGTCTGGCAGAACACCCTTTCCTCTTCTGCACGGAGGTTGGAGTTTGGTTTTTTTTGCTCCCCTAGTTCTTGGGTAGAGAGACCCTCTTTCTCTTTTCCTCAGTCTTTTTGGTCCGGTGTTTGGCAAGCAAAGGATCTCAGGAGGAAGAGCTTGCCTGAGTCTTTGGCTCAAACGGGAAGGCGTTTTCTTAGGGGCTGGGCAGGCGAGGAGGACCTGGTCCCCCACCCTTTCGCTGCCCACTCCACAAGGGTGTGAATCAGGGGCTCCTTCCCGTCGGGAAGTTCTTTTTCTCCCGTAGACTCTTCACTGCCTGAGGACGGCCCGGTCTTTGCTGCTGCAGCGGCTGCTACGCCTGTTCCATCTGCCGCCCCAGCCAGGTACCTTGTGTCCTGACTGCCGGGCGGGCGGGGGAAGGGGAGGAGGAGTGGGTCCTGGCTCCTGGCCCCAGCCCTGGGACCCAGGCTGGTCAGGCATGAGGAAGTCTGAGAGTAAACAGAGGCTGGAGTAGTTGGGGACCAGAGTTCGAAGAATTTGCACCAGCTGGTAAGCTTTTGGGACAAGTAACCAGTTATTTTTAAACAGCCATGTGGATGATGTTTGACCCATGTTAAGGGTCTTGCAGGTCCCATTTTCTTCTGAGTTAGTTCCACGATGGTCCTGTGTTTGAGTCCCAGCCGGTTCTCCCAGGGACTGGCTATACAGCCCCTCTCCACTGTCCAGGCGGGGTGATGGTCACATGTTCCAGAAAATTGAAGTGGGTCTGGGACCTGGAGGAGACGCACTTGCAGGGGAGGGGGAAGGAAGGAGGCTGGGAGTTTGGGATGGGGGAAACCAAAGCGACGCTTAGGACGCCTGGGCAGCAGCAGACAAAACCAGCGCCCTCAGCTCTGGCCCTGGCCCTTTTTCCTTCAGGAGCCCCCCCATGGAGGTGCAGCCCCCCGTCTCCCCTCAGCAGTCTGAGTGCAACCCTGTTGGTGCTCTGCAGGTGTGGCCCCTCATTTCCTGTGCATGCCCGTCCTCCCGGGAACCAGGGGCCCTGAGGGAAGGTTCTGGGGGCCGTTTTTTCACCCCGTTTGTTCCTCCTCTGGTCTGGAACCTGAGGCTCCTAGGGAAGGAGGGAAGGATGTTTGGACTCTTCTCACTCAGCCTGTCCACCCTCCTTCTCCCTTCCCAGGAGCTGGTGGTGCAGAAGGGCTGGCGGCTGCCTGAGTACACGGTGACTCAGGAGTCGGGGCCAGCCCACCGCAAGGAGTTCACCATGACCTGCAGGGTGGAGCGCTTCATTGAGATTGGTACCTTGGCAGGAGGGAGTTCTTGCAGTTCCTGTACCCCAACACTCCAGTCCTGGCCCCAGGCAGCACCTAGCTTCGCTGCGACAGCCCCCCACTTTTGGCTGAGACCCCCAGCTTGGCTCCTGCCTCTTAGCTTCTTCCTTACGCCCTGTCTTCCCCCTTCTTCTGGCCAGCCAGATTCTCAGGTGCATGGCAGGTCCTGAGCTCCCGTTTCTGATCGATATCTCTTAAGGGGACCCACAACCCAGATTGGAGCCTGGTGGGAAGCACTGAGTCTGTTGGGAGTTATGATCCAGTAACCCTCTCCCCACGTGCAGGCAGCGGCACTTCCAAAAAGCTGGCCAAGCGGAACGCGGCCGCCAAAATGCTGCTGCGAGTGCACACGGTGCCTCTGGATGCCCGGGATGGGAACGAGGCCGAACCTGACGACGACCACTTCTCCATTGTGAGTGGCTTGTGGGCCAGGCCGGGCGCTGGGGACTCGGTCTGTGACTCGGGAGTGAGCCTTTCTGGGTCCCAGGCCTGCTGCTGTCCCTTTTCCTATCGGAGTCAGGATTGTGGAGTTCTCGTTCAGCTTCAGCTGTGGGCCCCCTGGTGAGGCCAGGGGCCTGAGGCTTTCCCCCCCGTGATGAGGAAGGCAGCGTGGCCATCCAGTCCGGGTCTGATAGGGATAGGGATAGGGATCGGGGGTCATACGGGAATGGACTTGAGGGCGGCAGGCTGGAGGCACCTTCTTTGGGCTATTCTCTCCTGGGACATTAAATGTCTCTCCAATGCCAGGGTCTCCCAGCCCAATGCCACATCTGTCTCACTGTCTCCATCTCGTCAGGGTGTGGGCTCCCGCCTGGATGGACTTCGGAGCCGGGGCCCGGGCTGCACCTGGGATTCTCTGCGGAACTCGGTGGGAGAGAAGATCCTGTCCCTCCGCAGCTGCTCCCCGGGCTCCTTGGGGGCCCTGGGCCCTGCCTGCTGTGGCGCCCTCAGCGAGCTGTCTGAGGAGCAGGCCTTCCATGTCAGCTACCTGGATATTGGTATGGCTGGTTGGGGGGCCGGGGATGGGGGGACTGGACCAGAGCAAGTACACATGGGTATAGGAGTGGGGAGAGGGCATGATGGCGGCATGGATCCCACCCCCCCGCCCCTGACCCCCGGTGCTGCCTCACCACCCAACACTGCCTCCTCCTCCTCTCTTGTCTCCAGAGGAGCTGAGCCTGAGTGGGCTCTGCCAGTGCCTGGTGGAGCTGTCCACACAGCCGGTCACTGTGTGTCACGGCTCTGCAGCCACCAGGGAGGCAGCGCGTGGCGAGGCGGCTCGCCGCGCCCTACAGTACCTCAAGATCATGGCGGGCAGCAAGTGAAGCTCCGCGGACTCACGGACATGCAGCCTCGCTCCTGCTCTTCCTGCGCTCGGCCCAGGCACCGGCCCAGCGCTGGCACCCTCTGGAGGTGCCATCTCTACCTCTGACACAGACTGCCTCCCTGCAGGCCGAGGAGGGCATGGGCCCAGGAGCCAGGGACCACAGTGCCTCAGTGGCCCAGGATCCGTCCTGTTACTGGTGACGGAGGGGAATGAAACCGGACTGTCCCCCAGAGCCCAGAATAAACGTGCTGCTCCTCGGAACCCCAAACCCTCATCTTTCTGTTTCCCTGAGCAGTTGATGGCAGAGTGTTTCGTGCCCGATTACCTCCCCTCTGTGCCTCCCCACCTTGTTCTGCACTGTCCCTGTGCTTGCTTTTCTGGTGGCAGGAGGCTGGGTGCAGTGACTTCTGGGAACCCCATCACCTGTGTCTCTGGAGAGTTTGGTGGAGATGGAGGGACTGGTTCTTGCCATGGGCTCCCTCCCAGCCCCATCGAGTCTTAGACACAGACACCTGATTCAGAAGCCAGGCAGCTTTATTGGGGAGGGGGGGCGGGAGGGGGAGGACACATGGGTGTGGGCCTTGCATGCAGATGGATCAAGGGGTGACATGTCACTTCTTCCCAAAGCGCTGAGGGGCAGCCAGACTCCAGAACGGGGAGCTCAGCCCCTCCCCAGCTTGGACACTCAGCCGTTCGTTGCTCCTGGAGCCCTGGGCATTTCTGCCAAACCTTGGGAGAGATCCATCTTCAGCTGTAGGTCCTTCCAGTCCCCCTTCTCTAGCCCCCGGCCTCTCCTCCCCTGGCCCGCCTTGCCTGTGCCCCTCTCAGACTCACCTTTGGGGTTGAAACGGGAAGGCTGGGCCCCGGCCGGGTCTCTGCATGGCCTGGAGCAGGGAGAGGAAGAGTGACGCAGGAGCCTGGGCACCCTGTGGTGTGCGGGGTCCGGCGTCTTCCTCCTGCAGCACAGGGACATCCAGCAGGGAGACGGGCAAAGACTGGACATTCAGGCCAGTAGGGGAAGGATGAGGCTTCGAAGACCCTAGCCACAAGTGCTTGAACCTAGAGCACAAGCCCCATGCTGAGGTAGAGAGAGAAAGTGATGTGGGGAGGGGCGCTCACTTACCAGGAAGATCTGATCTCCACCCTGGCCCCCTGGTCCTTCAGCGTGGCCCCAGCCTGTTAGTAGAAGCAGCACCACCAGCAGCACCGCCGCCTGCCTGGAATCCATGCTGTCATCTGCCTTCCTCCGGCCACATCTGCCTCTTATACCTGCTGCCCCCCTGCCCGCCACCCCCACCGCAGCTGGAGGGGGAATCTGGAGCAGGCAATGGAAATGCACGACTCCATTAAGAGCCCCTGGGATCCGCGCCCATGGCCCCTCCGGGACTTCCTGCTCTCAGCCTCCGGCCCTAGCCCCTAAGCCTGGAATTACAGACTTTATTAGATGCATAAATCCTGTCTCCAGAGCTCGAGAAGCATCATTAATTGTACATGTTTTGTCAGCGCCAGGCCCTGGGGGGCCTTTAAGAACCCCCAATCCCTCAACAGGTTGGAGAGCTCCAATTGATCACCTCCTCCTCTCTCCTAACTTGTAGAATGAAAGCAGAAAGAAACCCCTGTCAGGAAGGGCTAGGTATTGTCCTGGAACAGAGGGAGTGGGGAGAAGAGTTAGGGTCACAGCTGGCCGGGATGTCCTAGCCGGGAGGGGGCTCCCTCCCCTAACGGCTGCAGCCAGGGTCACCCAGCCCACGCACACTCCTGCGTGTGTGCCTTTTAGAGCCACTGCTCTGAGAAGTGCCTGTGGATAGAAAAGTGAGAGGCAGGAGGGAACAAAATGAAAGTGGGGGGCTCACAGAGTGGGGACAGCTTCACATCGTTGTAGACGGGCCCCATCTTCACTAGAGGGCAATTGCTTGCTTAGGACCTGCCTCACCTGCGGCGACGGAGCCGTCCTCGCAGCTGAGGCACTGCTGCCACCCTGTGGCCACAGCCCCACACTGTCAGGTCCAGCCATTTCCTCTTCTGACTAGAGCTCTTCGAAGGATCAGGTGCATGGAGGTGCCTAGGGCCCTGATTCTACGGAGTTCCGGAAAGGCAGGGGCAGAATACAGGAGTTGGACTATGATTTTGTCCATCTCACTCTAGTCACCCCGCCTCTGCCCGGCTCTGACCTACTGGGGCGCATGACTAGAATCCAGCCTTGGGAAATACCTGCTTCTCAGGAAGGGGTCCTTCAAGTCACCTGGTGCCCTTTCCCTTCTGATCCCAGGATCCCGCTCCCCACCCCCGTCAGTAGTTCTGTAGCCATCCTGGAGAGGTGCCACGATGTAAAGAGCTGTGACCGGCCTTGGCAAGCTGCCTGCCTCTAATCTGCAGTTTCTTCACCCAGAACATGGCACCATGAAAAAACGCCTTCCTAGGATGAGCATTACTTGGCCATCCGTCCAGCACAGGATCTGACACAGCAAGCGTCCTCAGAATGTTAGCTGTGAGGAGCCGCCACATCCGAGCCCTGGGAACTTACCATCTCCCGAGTCTTCGCAGATTTATCCTTGCACCGAGCTCGTTTCCGTCTCCTTGTGGCCTCCACCAGGGGGTCTTAGTTTGCCTCTTAAGTCTCACAGAACATCTCTCCATTCTTTCATGTATGCAAGCCTTTAACAGGTTTGAAGACATTTAATTCTTCTACCCTGTAGTCTTTTTTTGTTCAAGGGACGCATTTCTCTTTAAAGTAAGGCATTTGTAAAGCAAACTCTACTGTGGGCAGGTAGATTAGAGCAGGTTTTGATCTGGATGCTCTAGATCACATGTGTCAAACACAAAGCCCGCGGGCCAAATCCGTCCCGCCAGGCCTTGCAATGTGGCCCGCACCGCGCTGTCATCACTGCACTCCGCTGCGTTTCCATCACAATGACAGTTTATGACTGTTCAGTAAACCATTCGGCCTGCAATTTAGGCTGGATTTTAGATTTTGGCCCCTTCTCTGATTGAGTTCGACACCCCTACTCTAGATACTACATTTCTGTTAATGCAGCCTAAGCGAGGGGGCCTTTCTGTGAGTTTGTCTCACACTGGTCCCCAGCATTCACCACTGCATCTTGCAGTTCCGCCTCTTTTTAAAGGAGAGAATTAAGACCATAGGTAGATGGTTCTTCTGTGGGAAATGGATCTGGCCCCACAGAAGTCCAGAGGAACAGAGGGTGGGTGGAGCATTGCGAAGAGCAGCTCTGGGGTCTGACAGAATTCAACTTTAATCCCAGCTCTTGGCACTGCACTGTGTGCCTTGGAGAAGTGTCTTACCCTTAACCTCACTTCTTCATCAATAAAATCCATTTCACAAGAGATGGCTATGAACAGGAAGTGACGCAAAGCATCTAGCTTTCCATGAGCACAGGCACTCAGTGTTTTTCACCCTGCGGCTTCCCCTCTACTAGTCTCTGATCACCAGGCACAACACTATCTGAGCTGAGGCTACAACAATGAGCTGAGCTAGCTGGCTTCCTAGGTTCAGGATGGAGGTGACGGGTCTCCTCTGGGTAGTGGTTGGAATGGGTTAATTCTGCTATCATGGGAAACCGCCCTGCCTTCAGCCTCATCCCAAACCTCCCAAACCTCTTCATCTGGGCTTCAGGATCTGGCTTTCAGCAACCTGCTTTCCGACCCTCCTGGGCCCTCCGTGTGTTCCTGACACAACACAACGAAGACCACGACTGCCTTTTCTACTTCTGAGGAGACTCAGTCTCCTTGTTTGTGTCAGTGAAACCAGCACTAGCCACAAACAGTTTCTTAGATCATTTCTCTCCCATTGAGAGACCCAGAGACACCTGCCATCTCCCGGTCGAGTTCTACACCGGCTCCCTCTCTGCACTTGTGAGTCACTCAGGAACACACGGATGCAATCAGTAGTGACTGCCCTACACCTCCTCACTCCGTATGGTCCGTAGGCATCACCTCTTCTTCTTTCTTTTCTTTTTCTTAATATGTTTTTACTGATTTTAGAGAGAGAGAGAGGAGAGAAAGAAAGAGAGAGAGAATGTTGATCGGCTGCCTCCTGCACCCCCATCAATGGAGATCGAGACCACAACCCGCAGCCTTGGCACGTGCCCTGATCAGGAATTGAACTGGCAACCTCTTGGTGCATGAGACGATACTCAACCAACTGAGCCACACTGGCCAGTGCTACCTGTTGTTTTTTGAGAACTCTCTTACCTGCTACCTAACCAATGCCCGCCCCCCAATGCCCATAGCATTTATCCTATCATAGAAAGGTTCTCCTTTGATCTCTGTGCATTCCCTCATCATGTTGGACACTTCTTGAAGATAGGGCTTATTTTTGCTGTTTTAAAAAAATTGCTGGGAGCGGGTGGGTACAAAACTGAAAGGTGAGAGGGCACTTGCTTTCAAACACCATCCCATCCCCCATCCACATAAAGCACACACCTCCTCCAGTGAGTGCTCCCATGATGCTCTGGGCCCTTGTCCCCAGGGCAGTACACAGATCTGAGCCCTGCCTTCGGTTGTGCTATGTATTTATTTAAGACACTGCCTTGTCTAGACTGTCTTCACTGCAGAAAAAGGAAGGGTAAGAATCTTGGCTCCTCCTGTTTTAGGAAATGGGGAGGTGAGGAAGATCAGACGTGAAGCCCAATGAGTCCCCAGGAAGAGTGACAGTGGGACTTGTAGATCAGAGGATCGAAACATCAGACATAACAGTGGTTCTCTCGAGAGTTTAATGTTATATTTGCAGCATAAATAAGGCACAATATATGTCAGGGCAAGGGAGAGGGGGAAGGCCGCCTGGGGGTAATGCTGAGTGGCAAGGGGAGAGAAGAAGGGACGGTGGGGGAGAACGGAGCGAAGCCTCTGCCTCGCCCGTTCTGGGGTTGTGAGCCTGCTCACAGGGGTCATGCTGAATGGGATGGAGGGGGGAGGGAGACCATGGTTTTGTAACAAAATAGCCTGTAGCACTGCATGCTCCCACCTGTCAAAGCCCACCACCGGGGAGACTCAGACCCCCAGTAGAGTTCCTTGATGAGATGGAGAGGTTTTGCTACATGTCAAAGATATACAGATGAGCAGAGATATAACCATAGATACACACTGCTTTCTTTTCAACAGATACTATATCAAGAGGTGGCAGCCTCTGCTGCGGGGCTGGAGGCTCATCTCCCTGCCTGAAGGTGTGTGTGAGTGTGTGTGTGTGTGTGTGTGTGTATGTGTGTGTGTGAACTGAACAGCTAAACTCCAGCTGGTCCTTCCTGTAACAAAGAGTGTGGAGTGACCAGTCTGCAAGGGAATATGGGACACATCTGCCCAGCCGACGCAGGACAGGTTTTAGGGCTAAGTAGGACGAAGATAAACCTAGATTTCGAGATGAATGATCTGGTTGTTGTTTTAATGGGGGTGGAGAGGGGCTGGAGGAAATGGAAAAACACATGTGTTAGTGCTAAGGCAGAGGAGGTACTCAAATCGTCTGGATACCCTGCAAGAACTTCCCAGTTGCTCCGAGGGCGGTGGTTCTCAAACCTTAGTGTGATAAGAACCACTCGGAGTGCTTGTGGGAGCCCATCCCCAGGGTTTCTGATTCAACAGGTCAGGGGTGGGGCCCAAACGTGCATTTCTCACAAGTTCCCAGATGCGGGTGCTGCTGGTCCTGGGCCATGTTCTGAGAACCATCGCCCTAAGGAAAAGCCAAAGCAACTAATGCTCAAAGCCACTTCTTACAGCTAAAACAGCACTCACCAGTAGCGGCTAATGCCGTAAGATATCTCTGTGCTACCAGCCCCCATTAAAAACAAACCCTACCAGCACAGCACAAGCCTGCCTCTACAAAGGGCACAAGCTGCCTTAACCTCCCCTATTCTCCCCAGCCTTTTCTCATTCTTTCCCCAAAAAGAGATGAAAGAAGTGGTACAAAGGGTGGGAATGGTGACCAGCAGCCGCCTCTGCTCATTCCAGCTGGGTCAGCACCCTGGGAGGGGGTTTGTGTCTGTGTGCACGTGTGTGTTGTAAACAGAAACAAACAGTTTTGTACTCTGAGGGGAGATTAGGGTGTGGGAGATTGAGAATCCTCACTTGTCTCAGTCCTCCCTCCGCCTCGGTCAAACAGAAGTCTAAAGAAAGCACAAAGAGCACATCAACAAAGGCATATGTGATACAGCTAGGACTGGATTCTAAACAGACTGGTTATGAAATAAAAAACAATACTTTTCCTTCCTGTGTATACAATGTACAATATTAATGGAAATTAATGACGTGGGGATGGAAAGGAAGTTCTGAAAGAAAGGGAGAACTTTTGTGAGGGGGAGCGGTCTCAGGGTAGCACCTTTAATGGAGCCTCTCAGGTGGGACGCGGGCCTCAGAAGCCAGAGGAGAACGTGTCTGCTCGGTGGGCAGGCTGTAAACAGGCCTGGCGATGACTAAGCACCCCGGCTCTGAGTGGTGCCAGGGCAGGGAATTGGGAAAGGAGCCAAGAACAGCACGACAGGCATAGGAAGGCCACAGGTGAAGTTCGGTTAGGTCACCTCTTTTACCACCACCGAGAGTTCATGGTCTGGTCTTAGGGCCAAGAAGAGGAGAAGCAGCTGAAGGAAGCCAGATGTGGGGCGCACAGCCAACAGGCACAGGGAGTGAGGGAAGAAGCTCCTCCTCTTTCTGTCTCCGAGCTATGGGGAAGCTTCTCAGCTTTTCAGCTCTAAGCACACCTTCCAGGAAATGGGCAGACTGCACGCCAGACCTGGTTCTGGCCCCTGTCTCTAGGTCAGGGGTGGGGAACCTTGTTCCTGCCAAAGGCCATTTGGATATTTATAACATTATTCAAAGGTCATACAAAATTATTAACTTAAAAATTAGCCGTCTGTATTTGGTTACACATTTAATTAACTCACCCCAATACCTTGCCAAGGCCAGCCCAAATGATTCCACGGGCCTTGCACGGCCTGCGTGCCGGAGGTTCCCCACCCCTGCTTCATGGCTTGCACGCCCAGCAGCTGTGTCTTGGAGTGAAGTGAGAGGCCGAGTCCTGTGCTCAGTTGGAAGAGTCCTAGGGTCCACACCTCAGCCCCTTCAGAAGTGTCTCCCCCGGGCTCCCTGGCAGCCTAACGAAGGGCTAAAGGACACCCTCTCTGGTGTTTGGTTCTGGTGCAGATGAGTCTGGAAGGCAAAGAGCACGGGAGAGCAGCCACGGGAGGCAGTGAGGACCAGGTCATGACATTCCCCTTGGTATAAGAGAGGCTCATGGTAAGCAATTGTCTGTTTGTAGTGAGACCGAGGACCAACTGAAGATTGGTCTGCAGGCTCGTCCTGCCCCTTCCTCAAGTCACTGCTGCTTTCTTACTGAGGTTCTGGCAATGCCCCTCACTCAGGTCCCCAGTGCGAACACCCGACTGATGAAAACGAGAGTTAGACGTGGGGTTAAGAAATGAACCGAGACCCTCTACGTAAACGAGCCATCCTACTCAGGGGCGGATGGGCAGAGCAGCCTCCTCCAGCGCCCAGCAGCGAGGCAAGGCCTGTGTGAGATTCTCCATTTGAAACACACTTGACTGAAGGCGGAAGAAAATAGTGAAGGGTCTTATGAAGGCTCCTTAGGAGCCATAAACTCAGTCAAGCTTAAAGGCAAGGCTGATGGTGGGAAATCAATAGAATAAAAAACTGAAACAAAACTAAAGTAGAAGAGCCCGGGAGCAGTGTCTGCGAGCCCTGAGCGCGAGTTATGGCTGTGAATTTTACAGGCGAGCGGAGTCCCTGGAGGCGGAAACCTGCATCCTGACCATCTGCCTTGCCATTTGCTAATCTGAGTCACCTCAGGGGCTGTTCCTGTTGGGTCCCGGGTGGTAGAGGATGAGAAAACCACGTTTCTCTCCTTTCTCTTCACCAGGTGTGGCTTGTTCAGCACCAGCTCTGCAAGGGGAAATTAAAAACAATGCAGTGGAACATGCCACCTGACTGGCTCACCGGTTTATCACTCTGAGGAGACTGCAATCTTGTAGCTGAGGACATTTCCTCGTTCCCCTGGGCCAGCCAATTTTGGAAGACAAAACAACAATTTAAGACGGAGGTAGAGAGATGGAGAAAAGGACATTCTTGGCTTTGGCAGATGGCAGGTGGCAGCGCTGGGACAATTGGAAGGGTTTCAGACTGAAGAGCCACTAAAGCTGACATACCTATCCACAGGCCTCTGGCTTTGGATTGCTTCCTATGGCCCTGGTAGAAATTGCATAGTTCAGAGCCAAAGGAAGATGAGAAGTCTTCATGGGGAAGAGAGAGAGACCAGAGGGATGAATTTCTTCCTCTGTAACCCTACTCTTCAGAGTAAGAATGGCTGAGAGCAATAGTCACCCATTTCCCAGGCAGGCTAGACCTTTCAATAAGCAGGGCTCTTCTGCTGAGCTCAGAACTGCACCTCCTCCCTCTCCTCCCCCTGCCCCCCCCCATCCAACTTTGTACTCGGAAAACCCTCGCGGGGCCCTGGCTGTGAGGCCTGAGTCTTGGGGGTTGGCCTATGGAGAAGCACCGCATTGAGGGGGCAAAAAGCAGAAAAGAGCTGAAGAGAGGCCTAGTGGCCAGGCTACGAGCCTGCTGAGAGGAACAAGGGAGATCCAGAGGGGGTGGGGCACGTGGGAATACAAGACCCTAGCTCAGGGAAGGCAGATGAGTGAGGCTGAGAAGGGGAAAGTGAGGGACAGCTGGTTCAGGGCTGCATCTGAACCAGCCGTGGAGAGAGGCATTCATGTGGCCAGGAGAACCAAGAGGGAGAGGCAGAGGCGGAAAGCTGACCAAAAGGAATATGCATGCTTTGGTCAGTCAACTCCTTTACAACAAAGAGTCACTCCATTAACCTGATGGAACAAGCTTTCCTGCCTGACCTGATGATTAGGCTGAAGAAGGAGGGAGTGGGGAGGGGAGGAGTCAGTCAGTCAGATCCTGGCTCTTCCCCTTTCCCTGCCAAGTCCTAGCTGATAAGGCCACCAGGTGATTGCAAGGCTTAGTGGGAAGTGGAAAAGACCCCACCACTAGACTGGGAAAACTCAAGAGGCAAAACGTGTTATCCAAATAGCCCTGCAAACAGACTAAAAAGGACTAGAACTCTTGGGGTTTTGTTTCTTTCTTTTTCCTTTTTTTTTGTTTTTTGTTTTTTTGTTTTTGTTTGTTTTGGTAGAAAATAGGGAGAAGGACTAAAGTTTATGGAAGAGCTGGAAAAAATATTGCTACTTCATACATCAAAGGTAACTTTACAATCTCCCTAAGTGAATATTTTGACTAGAATTTTGGATGGGTAAAAAGGGATATAAGCAGCTACTGGGACACAATGTCCTGAGTCCATGAGGGGGCTGGAGATGGGTCAGCAGTTGATTCTCCATCAATTCTGGCTCTCTCTACCTAGCAGGTAGTGACATGCTGCTAAGGAACAAGAAGGTAACAGTTATGGCTTATTGGGAAGAGAGGAAACTGGGAAACCGGAAACCTACAAGTGCAAGGGTTAGTGTTCAGAGAGAGAAGTACGGGTGCATGGGCGAGGGTGGCTGACTGTTCAGACCATGTGGAAGGGCCTCTGGCTGTGAGGACTTCAGAAACCCCCCCTTCCGGGATGATCTATGTGGCTCCGGGGCTGGGAGGCTCCTAGTACAGGTGTCAACGTACACGACCATGTGGCTGAAGAGAAAAGCCCCACAGCTGTCCTTTACTCACAACACACAGTCCCCCCACACCGCCATGTCCAAGGCAGACGGGAGGGGTAAGATGACACCTCTCTTGGCTCTCGAACGGGCGAGCTCTGGCTGGGGACCTCTCCACCAGGGGAGGCATCATCTGCCCGCAGACTGGGACTGTGGAGTCATAATCACATGCGACTGAATGGGCATGCTCAGTTCTGTCCTTTGGCTGGCCATCTGCGTGAGGACTGAGGTGGCCACCGCTTCAGCCGCAGAGCGAACGCTGAGGCCATTGCTGGGTGCTGTTGCTGAGCTGTGCTGGATCACGGGGGCTGGGGAACCCGTCGGCTCCGAGCTTTCCTTGGGGCTTTCTGCCAGGGAAGGAGGGCAAACAGCAGAGAGCAAGTGGTTAGAAAACAGCATGGGGAAACAGGCGGAACTACCTTTTGCCGCAATTCTAAAGCAGACCGAAGGAAAAGGAAGCCTATCTTTTTTTTGATGGTGGAGAAACTTCCCAGATTTTGGCTTCTAAGCTATGAATGAGCTAGGAAGCAGTAAGCCATGAGAAGGGAAACAAAAACTAAACAAATTAACCTACCTATCCAATAAAGCAAATCCCCAACATGCTAATTACACTGTCTGGCTTCTAGGTCTCTGTATGTAGTTCATTACCCTACTGGAACAGTCTTCTTAGTCATGTTTTAAAGGTGATTTTTGTTGTTGTTAATTTTCATCCGAGGATACTTTTTCCATTTATTTTTTAAGAGAGAGTGGGAGGGAGAGTAAAACATTGATGTGAGAGAGATACATTAATTAGTTGCCTCCTGCACACACCTGGACCAGCTACGTGCCCTTGACCAAGAACTGAACCTGTGATGCTTCGTGCATGAGTCAATGCTCTTGCCACTGAACACCCCAACCAGGACTACAGGTGATTTGAAATAGCTTTATTTTTAGCTATCTTTTCTGATTAATTGCCACAGGAACTTGGCAATTAATTCTTTTTTCTATTCCTTTAGAATGTCATTACACCATAGGTAAGCCTAATAAACATCAAGCTACAATCAAATAATGTCATAAATAATTAGTGTTAAGTGAACCCCAAGGTTCACTTAACACAATAAACCCCAAAGAGTTTACCTTCTAAGCTATTACTTAGCTAGGTATTACTGATTTAAAATATTTGATGAGTTTTGCCACTCCACCTAATGTGACAGTAACATTTCACTAAACACAAGTATCTGAACTACATACTGATAGTTCCATGTTGCTCATCAGTCAAGGAGCTTTCTTAAATGGCTGACAGCCTTGGTGGGCTGCTTAGAGGGAGAGATGTTGGAATGAGGGGAAACTTCCAATAGTTAGCTGTATATATATATATATATTTATTATTATTATTATTATTATTATTATTATTATTTTTAGCTGTATTTTTGACCTGAAGAATGCCTGAGTCTTTTTTTAGAATCTGTGAAGCCTTCTTTGTTGCACTCAGGAAATTAACTATTTCACTGCTTGTGCTTTCAGAGCACACATTCATTTATTCATCACATATTTAATGAGCATTGTCCATGTGCCGGACACTGAGGTATATAAAGAATAAAACGGTATCCCTGCCTTTAGGAAGCTCCCAATCTAAGGGCTTTCTTTCTTTCTTTTTTTAAAAAAATTTATTTTATTGATTTTCCCCCCATAGCATTGGTTTTTATTTCTAAGCCAAACATTCCACCTTTATAGTGAATAATGCAACCTGCAGAAGACTCTTTTACAGAGAGGAAGAGAGAGGAATAGAGAGTTAGAAACATCGATGAGAGAGAAACATTGAACAGCTGCCTCCTGCGCACCTCCTATGGGGCATGTGCCTGCAATCAAGGTGCATGCCCTTGACCGGAATTGAACCTGGGACCTTTCAGTCAACAGGCCGATGCTCTATCCACTGAGCCAAACCTGTTAGGGCTAAGAGCTTTCTCAACAGGGATATCTGTGCTTACTCTACTAACAGGTTGACATGTTTATCTCCTCATAGCCTCGAGTCTCTCAGAGGTAGAGACAGCATTTCGTTTGTATTGTGCTAAATACCTACTATAATGTCTACATCACACAGCAGGAACTATATACATTTTTGCTGTAACAAATAAGGAGTTTAATGGAATGACTAAATGTCAGAGTTCTTATAGGGGTTGAGTAGAAAACTTACTGTACATAGTTTTCATACCAATACTCAACCCTTGTCTTCCTTTCTGCCAAGGGTCATCTGGATATTTATAAATAATTCGAGAGCCATACAAAATTATCAACTTAAAAATCAGTCTGCTATCTGTGTTAGTTTGGGGTGGGGTGTTTCATTAAACCTTTGGATCTCAAATGTTATATTGCAGGCCACAGGCATGACAGGCCATGAGCAGGTGAGGAAACAATGGAAAAGTGTTCAAAACTCCTTTGTCGCCTAATGAGCTTCTGAATGTATCACTGTGGTCCACAGAGAAGGCTGGAGAAGGGAGCAAAGAGATGCTGTATCAGCTACTGCAGCCTTAAAACAAAGTTGGTGTCTCTGTGGATTTTAAAATTGTTCATATGCAGCTTATTTTATTTTTGTTTAATCAAATAAGCAAGAGGGCTTTATTTCCATGGGGTGGGGGACATTAGTCTTCTGCCCTAGCTGGTTTGGCTCAGTGAATAGAGTGTTGGCCTGTGGAATGAAGGATCCCGGGTTCGAGTCAGGTCAAAGGCATGTACTTTGGTTGCAGGATCCCTGGCCCTGGTTGGGGTGCATGGAGGCGGCAATCAATTGATGTGTCTCTCACATTGATGTTTCTCTCTTTCTGTCTCTCTCCCTCCCCTTCATCTCTCTTAAGAACCAATGTAAAATATTCTCGGGTGAGGATTAACAACAACAATAACAAAAAAATTAGTCTGCTATTGTTGGTCCCAAACATTCCATTAACTCACCCATAATGCCTTGGCAGGGCCAAACCAAATGATTTTGTGGGCCCTACAGAGCCTGTGGGCAGGACATTCCCCACTCTTGCGTTAGCTCATGAAAAGTTTCTGAAACGGTTGATCATACATTGTAAAACACTTAACTTTGGTTAACAGACCACCACACTCAGCTTCTCAGCTGGTTTTCCTCCTACCTTCTAGGCTGCTCATCTCAGCCACTTTTGTGCGTTTCTTCTCATCTCTCTGACCTCTTCAAATGTTGTAGTATCCCAGGGCCGAGCCCTGGGAATTCTCTTTTTCTACCTATGGGCTCTCCCTTGACAATAATATTTCATCCAGTTTTATGGCATTAAAAACTAGCCTGGTTACGATGGCTCCGTGGTTGAGCATCGACCTATGAATCAGGAGGTTACGGTTTGATTCCTGGTCAAGTTACATGTCCAGGTGGCAGTCTTGATCCCCAATCATGCAGGAGACAGCCAATCAATGATTCTATCGCATCATTGATGTTTCCATTTCTCTCCCTCTCCCTCTAAAATCAATAAAAATGTATTTATAAAAACCTAACTATATGCTGCTGATTCCCATCGTCATATCTTGCAGACTTTCCTCTGAACTGCAGACCCATGTAACCAGCTGTCTGCTTGACTCCACCTTCAAAACAAATAGCCTTCTGCCCAGCTGGTGTGGCTTAGTTGGTTGAGCCTCATCCCATGTCCCAAGGAGGTGGTGGTTCGATTCCCAGTCAGAGCACATGCCCATGTTGTAGGCTTGATCAGGGTGTGTGCAGGAGGCAACCAATCAATGTCTCTCTCGAACACTGATGTCTCTCTCTCCCTCTCTCTCTCTCTCTCTCTCTCTCTCTCTCCTTTTCTCTTCTTCCTTCCCTCCCTACTTTCCATTTTCTCTAAAAATAAATGAATGAATAAATAAATGGAAAAAATATCCTTGGTGAATATTAACAAAAACAAACAAACAAACAAACAAACAAACAAAAAGACTGACAGGCTTCTTAAACTCAGCTTGTCCAAAAATGAGCTCCAAATATACCTCCCATTTAATTTCCTCCTATACTTTCCCCTATTTCAATTAATGGCAAATACATTCTTGCAGTTGCTTGGGCCAAAAACTTTGGTGTAACTTTTATTCTTCTTGTTCTCATATATACTGTTACATTTGGCCCCATCATCAAACCCTGTCACTCTAACTTTAAAATATCCTGAATTCAACACCTTCTCACCACTTTCACTTCCACCATCTTGGTCCAAGTTTCCAACAACTCTTGTGCCAATTGAAGTTTCCTGTCCAAATGTAAGTCAGATCAGTCACGTCACAGCTCTGCTGAAAACCCTCTGATGGTCCTCAGTGCAGAGTAAAAGCTGAGGTCCTCACCATGTCTGACAAGGCCCCCCACAAAGACGCTCCCTTTACCTTCCCTATCTCATCTCCAACTAGCCTCCAGGCCCATTCCCTCTAATCCAGCCACACAGCCTCCTTGATGGTCCTAGAATGTGCCAGGCACACTCCCACTTTGGATCTTTGCCTTTGCTCTTCTTCCTGCAGTACTTTCCTCACATAAGTGCATGGCTAGCTCCCTCACTTCCTTAAGGTCTTTATTCAAAAGCTACCTCAAAAAAACAAGAACAAAAAACAAAAACATGAAACAAACAAACCCCCCCCCTAAAAGCCACCTCATCTAAAATTTCAACCTTGCTGTCAACACTGCATATTTCTCTTCATGTTTTATTTTTTTCTTCCAAGCATTTACTATTTAAAATTTAAAAAAAATACATTTTTATTGATTTCAGAGAGAGGAAAGAAGAGGGAGAGATAGAAACATCAATGAGGAGAACCAAGATGGCAGCATAGGTAAACATAGCCTCTCACAACCACATCAAAATTACAACCAAAAAGCAGAACAACTACCACCCAGAACCGAGGGAAAGCTGGCTGGGTGGAAGTTCCACAACTAGAGAGGGGAAGAAAGCACACTGAAACTGGTAATAGGTGTGGAGGTGCAGAAAGCGCTGGCACCTAGATGTGCTGTTCTTTAATTGGAAGGGAGATACAAGCTCCCACTTGCTCTGAACTCCAGTTCCAGGCAAGACTCTGGGGGACCCAGACACATACCGGGAGAAACTGGACTGTCTGGCATTGGGACAGGAATACGAGGGTGGCTTACTCTCAGAGGGGCTCACAGCGATCATTGTTCCTGCACAGGGCACAGATGCTCAGACCCGGGGACCTCTCCAGGGCAGGGATGTTTGCTCTGGAAGCCACTGCTGTTTGCTCCACCCTGGTGATTCTCAGAGACCTGCTCCACCCAATTTACAATCCTACCCAAGCTGTTCACATTGGCCTTTGAATATGAATGGCCTGTCCTTTTTCCACCTAAAATCTGTCCAACTCCAGCTGGGTCAGAGAGCCAGGGCTTCCAAAAGAAGACCCAGGACCCACTGGCAGAAGCAGCCAGCCTTACTTCACAGCTGGGCCTCATCTGGATACTTCCAAATCCTACACAAAGAAGAGGAATCTGAAAATGTCTCTATAGATCCTGCTGGGTGACCCCAGACAGTGGCTGACCTTGCACCTCCTTGGAGATCCAAGAGCCAGTGTACCCAGTGAACAGAGTGAGACCATACTGGATTACAACTCTTCACATCCATAAGAGACATACTCAGGGGGCAGGCTAAGTAAGCACCAAAGCCCCACTGAAGCAAGTCCTGCCCCATAAGGGTGTCTCCTGTGCAATACATCTTCCAGTGTAGACATAGCTGGTCATCACAGCCAACTGGCCTGGAGGTCAATTCCTCCCAGTGATACCAACAGCAATCAAGGGTTAACTACAACAAGACTGAGCACACAGCCCACAAAGGGGTGCACTAAGAGCGTCCACCTCAGGTGACTGGAGAGGCTGAGCCACTGGGCAACACAAGGCCACTCTATCAACTTAAGGAGACTCAGCAGCTACCAACTACATAGAACAAACACAGGAAAGCAGCCAAAATGCAGAGATAAAGAAACAAGTCACAAATAAAAAGAAATGTATGAAAGCAAAATATTGGATTTAGAGTTCCAAACCACAGTTATAAGGTTACTTAAGAATCTTCTAAAAACCTCTGAGAAATTTAGTGAGACTCTCAATGATATGAAAAAGGACCAATTAGAAATTACGTGTACACTGACTAAAATAAAGAATAATATACAGAGATCCAATAGCAGACTAGAGAATCCCAAAAATCAAGCCAAAGATTTGAATTACGAAGAAGCAAAAAGCCAAGAAAGAAGGAAAAAAGAATCCAAAAATATGAAGATAGTGTAAGGAGCCTCTGGGTCAACTTCAAGCATACCAACATCTGAATTATGGGGGTGACAGAAGAAGAGACAGAGCAATATATTGAAAAGCTATTTGAAGAAATAATGACAGAAAACTTTCCTTACCTGGTGAAAGAAATAGACTTACAAGTCCAGGAAGTACAGAGAACCCCAAACAAGAGGAATCCAAAGAGGACCACACCAAGACACATCATAATTAAAATGCCAAGGACAGCCAAAACCGGCTCAGTGGATAGAGCGTCGGCCTGCAGACTGAAAGGTCCCGGGTTCGATTCCGGTCAAGGGCATGTACCTTGGTTGCGGGCACAACCCCAGTGGGGGGGGTGCAGAAGACAGCTGATCGATGATTCTCTCTCATCGATGTTTCTATCTCTCTATCCCTCTCTCTTCCTCTCTGTGAAAAATCAATTAAAAAAAAAATGCCAAGGACAAAAGACAAAGAGAGAATCTTAAAAGCAGCAAGAAAAAAACAGTTAGTTACCTACAAGGGAGAACTGTCAGTTGATTTCTCAACAGAAACTATGCAGGTCAGATGGGAGTGGCAAGAAATTTACAAAGTGATAAATAACAAGAATCTACAACCAAGATTACTCTATTTGGCAAAGCTATCATTTAGAATTGAAGGTCAGATAAAGAGCTTCATACGCAAGAAAAAGCTAAAGTAGTTTATCACCACCAAACCAGTATTATATGAAATGCTGAAGGGTATTCTTTAAGAGGAAGAAGAAGAAAAAGGTAAAGATAAAAAATTATAAAAACAAAGTGACAATAAATACATATCTGTCGACAAGTGAAGCTAAAAATCAAATGAATAAAAAACCTGATGGCTCAGCTGGCATGGCCCAGTGGTTGAGCATCAACCTATTAACCAGGAGGTCAGGGTTCAGTTCCCGGTCGGGGCACATGCCTGGGTTGGACCCCCCAGAACACTGAGAACAGAGTTATAAAATTACAAACATTTGCGACACTCAGTGCATTCTGACCTGGCTTAGGTTGTAAGCCACTTACCTAAGTAGCCTTGGGTCTTTTTCTGTAGTGCAGTGACTGGACAGTCTTTATGAGCTAACAGTAGCTGTTTCAACTGAGCCACCTCATTGCGTAGTAATGTGACTTCATTCTGGGGGCGGGAGGGAAGAAAACAGTATCAAGAAAATTCATCCTTCACTCTTTAACCCCCAGTGACCAACTCTCAAAGTGATGACAGAATACTGCCTGGATTTTCTCTTCCAAATCTGGAGACTTCTGACCCAGCGAGGCTTCAGCTAGCCCAGGGCCAGTAGAATCATGAGTTCGATGACAGGAGCTGCTTACAATGTAAGGTAGGGATTTACAATAGAAAAATTACTCCTATACAGGATAAACATGATTATACCAAAATTAATAATGCATAAGTCCTGTGACTAAGAAAGTGTACTTCCATGACTTTCAATCTATTTAACAGAATGACCTATTCAAATGTGTATAATGTTCACTGCAGCATTGCTGTTCTAGCAAAAAATTAGAAACATTACAAATACCCAGACCTTGTAATGTAACTACACTATAGAATGTACTACTATCCAGCCATTTTAAAAAACACACAATCCCTCCCTGACTCCCCTACAAAAACTATAAATGAAGATAGTATTTAGAAATCCATATATTTCTGGACTCTGGCTGGGTAGCTCAGCTGGTTAGAGCATTATCCTGATACACCAAGGTTGTGGGTTCAATTACGGGTCAGGACACATACAGGAATCAACCAACGAATGCATAAATAAGTGGAATAACAAATTGATGTTTCTTTCTTCTTTCTAAAAAAAGTGTCTGGTAGGTGCACATCAAACTTACCTATAGGGAAAAGAATAAGTTTGGAAAGGCATGCTGAAGAGGGATTTTGTGGTGTGTTTTTTTTTTTTGTTGTTGTTGTTAATCCTCACCTGAGGATTTTTTTCCATTGATTTTCAGAGGGAGAAGAAGAAAGAGAGAAACATCTATGTGAAATAGAGACACATCAATTGGTTGCCTGCAGCAGCGCCCAATCGTGGGGGCCAGGATCAAACCTATGATCCAGGTATATTCTCTTGACCGGGAATTGAACCTGTGACCCTTAGGTGCTCAGATGTGGGGTGGAGTCGGGAGATGCTCTAACCCAGTGGTCAGCAAACTCATTAGTCAACAGAGCCAAATATCAACAGTACAACGATTGAAATTTCTTTAGAAAGCCTAATTTTTTAAACTTAAACTTTATAGGTAGGTACATTGTTATTAACCTAATTAGAGTACTCCTAAGCTGGCCTTTGCTAAAAACTCAAGGGGCCAAAGAGCCGCATATGGCTCGTGAGCCACAGTTTACAGACCACTGCTCTAACCATTGAAAATACCAGCCAGGGCGAGACTGTTTTTCTTCTACCTCTTTGTGTGTATGTATGTGAAAATATTATCTTGTAATGAAATATTTTAAATAATCAGAAGGAAAAATAATATTCAAGAAAATGTATGGCCCTGACTGGTTTGGCTTAGTGGATAGAGCATCAGCCTGTGGACTGAAAGGTCCCGGGTGTGATTCTAGTCAAGGGCAAGTACCTTGGTTTCAGGCACATTCCCAGTAGGAGGTGTGCAGGAGGCAGGTTAGTAATGTTTCTCTCTCATCGATGTTTCTAACTCTCTATTCCTTTCCCTTCCTCTCTGTAAAAAAACAGTAAAATATATTTAAAAAAAGAAAAGGAAATGTATGGATTATAATTGTTCTATTTTTGCTTGTGTGGCTTTTTCTTTCTTTTATTAAGCTGATTTATCTGGGACAAATGCATTTCCCTTTGGGTATTCCATGACCCCAGTCAGAGTTTACTGATGACTTAAAAGAGCATCCTGGGGTGCTTAATTTAATTCCCTTCACCCAAATGGGTCTATGAATAAATCATTCCAGTAGCAGATTTGGCAGTCGATGATGTCTTTTCCAATCCCTGGGGAAGAGATTTCAACTCTGGCAGTAAGAGATTCTTCCTGGAACATCTTCTGTATCTGTCCTAACTTAAGTAATTACCACCTTCTATTATATTGTCCCATTTTTTTCTGACTCAACACTTTCAAGCCTCAACAATCTCGACAGCCATCTAGGACCCACTCACACTCAGCTGAATGTTCTGAGAAGTGAGTTCCTCTGCCTTCTTCTCTAGGGAGGACACCCACAGCTTCCGCTTCTGACGGCAGCGAGAGGCAGCAGCCCGGTTGCGCTCCAAAAAGCGCTGCCGCCGCTCATCCGGATCTTCATCCACCGTGCGCCGCCGGCGCCCGCCTGTGCTGGGGGTGGGCTGGGCTGGTGAGACCTGTTGCCCAAGAAGGAAGCGGAGTTACTTGAAAGGAATTAAACCTGGTGTTAAGGTATATTGGTAAGACCTGTAAAGGGATGTATCAATCTCTGTAACCACAGCAAGTCTCATCACTATGTATATCCTTAGCTTCTCTTTTGAAATTGTTCCCTCATTCTGCCTCCCATTTCCTTCCAGTCTTCTCAAGTCCCAAACTTATACAACCAGAGCTCAGTTGGAAACTGATTATCTGAGACAGACAGACAAAATGAATCCAGGATCACTTTTTGTTTCTTATAGGGAATCTTGTAGGGAAGGAAAGCATAAAGAAGGATATTGGGAACTTTTAGCAAGTCTGGAATAAAAAGTTTACAAATCACTGATTTGAACAAGCAATAAATACAAACAACTGAAAATCTCCCTATGCAGTAACACCCTAGCACCACAGACCTACTAGTCAAGGATTCATGACCCTTTCTGTGGAAAGCCAAATTCCCACCACCCCAAAATTTTCTTTAAATGTCTATAATGGAAGGAGTCAGTCTCTTAACTATAAGGACCTAAGCTGGCTACACAGTAACTCTCACTGGCTCTGATTTGTGGAACTGGTGCCATCTGGTTGGCATAGGAGCTCAGGGGCTCAGGTCCCCTCCTCCACGGAAAGAGGCTCTGATTTGAGCTTCACAAACTCTAGAGCCACTTCATTGCTCAGGTGGGTTTTGTGTGTGTGTGTGTGTGTGTGTGTGTGTGTGTGTGTGTGTTTAAGACAATAGATGAGAAACAGATTAAGAGAACCTCCTTTGGCTGGTACACATACATCATTCTCATATAGGTAACACCAAAAATTAAGACCTCCTCTGTGACAGTTCTGTATTATCTAGTCTGCTTACATGTAAGTATAACACAAGGGTGGATAAAGAATGGTACTTTTTACTACTGTCAAATTGTCAACAAGAATCAAAGCACAGGAAGGTGTCCAGAAAGATGAAATCTATTCTTCTCTAAATTTTCTGCTCATTGAAAAACATAGGACTTAAAAAGCAATGGTGACATAGCTGGTTCCCCCATCTAAGGGCCCAACTGACCTGTGGCTGGGCAGGGGATGGCGCGTCAGGGTGCTGGATGAGGATCTGGCTCTGCTCAGGACGGGCTGTCACCATGGTGCTGGCGGTACCCACCACCATTCCACAACCTCCATTGATTGAGGAGACTTGGTTGGTTAGGGTGGCTTTTAGTCTCTGTGGAAAAAGATAAGAAAAAAAATAAAAGGTTGTCAAGGGTGAGATTCTATCAAGGATGGGAAGAATGGGCTTGGATTTTATTACTGACTTACAAATAGCTAAAATTTCCATAACAATTTTCCCTTAACAGAGGAAATAAAAGAAAATGACGGGGAGAGAGTGTGCACCTGGATCCCTAAAATGCCTGCTCTATTCCCTGGCTGTCATCCTGGGCACAGTCGGAGGGTGGGGGTGGCTGAGGCAATAGAGTCCAGATGAAAGCTCTCTCCTGGAGCCCGGCCAGGCGCTGGTTACGCAGCTATTCACCTCTTGGCCAGCTCTCCTGCCCACTCATCCACCCTCCATCTGTCACCCTGGAACTGAAACAGCAAGTGTTCCTCCCCAAACAATCTGTGCTCCTCTTCACTGCCATGGTCTATGTACCAGGCTCTAAAGGTGGAAGGGAGGAGATGGGAGTCCGAAATCAGGGTCTCTTTTCCTATAGACCTCACAACAGGGTATCTTTAGCTTTGCCAAGTCCCAGAAGGGTCCCTTGTTTGGCTCATTTGAAAAACCTGGGCTGATCCCACTTCTCTTACAAAGAGCCAATGTTGCCCCAGGCTGGAGTATACTCACCATCTTGGCCTCTGATGGCATAGGGTGGCCAGAGGGAGAAATGGAGCCACTGCTGTTAACTGGTGGGCCAGGGATACCAGGAATGTTGGGCACCATAGACACAGGTCTGGCCAGCTGGATCAAGAGAAGGAAGAAAAACCAGAAGGGAACATAATAGTATTGGTGGAGCAACAGCTTCCCAAAATGCAGTGATTTTGAGATTGGCACATCAGGGCCTGTTCTGTGCAACCTGCCCACAGGGCATACAGGGATCCTGGGAAATACCTCCCCCCGCAGCACTGAATCTAATCTTCCAATGCTATGACAACTTCTATGGGAAGGCTGGGGCTATACTGAGGCAAGTGGTGGGCAATTTGGAAGGTTCTAAGAGCCAAGTGAAAGCAACCAATCAGCAGGCTGGCGAGATCAATTCCTAGACAAGGAGCCAATTGTCCAGATGAGCCTTTGTCTAGTGTTCCATAGTACTGGATTGGCAGAGGTTAGTGAAGCGTTTGGGCAGGCTTCCATGCTCCACTAATACAGACCGGAGCCCACTTTTCCCTGGGGCTCCCGTGTTTAAGAGCATTCAGGTGGAAGGGAGGGAGTGTGTGCTGGTAGGGCTGGCTGTCCCAGCTACAGAGCTTACCGATATAACAGAAGGCATCTGTACCGGAGGCCCTGGCAGCATAGGCATGGTCTGCCCATTAGCAAGATGCATGACGAGAGGAAGGGAGCCAGTGGGAGACCTAGAGGACACATGGAGTGAAATGCTCACAATACAGACCCTTTTGCCTATGGATCTTTTTTCTCCAGTTACAGAAGCTAAAGGGCAACATTGTGTAATCTTGACACCCTCGTGAAGGTGGAAAAGCAGGGAATGATTCGAGATCTTTATTCTTTGCAAAGTAAGCAAATACCACTGAACTCAAATGTGTGGGAAGCAAATCCTATTAAGAGTTCTGAATAATTGCCCTGGCCAGTGTTGCTCAGTTGGTTGAATATCACTGGGCACCGAAAAGGTTGCCGGTTTGATTCCTGGTCTGGGCACATGCCCAAGTTGTGGGTTCAATCCCTGGTTGAAGTGTATATGGGAGACAAACTATCGACATTCAGAATCGATGGGCAGCTAAAGAGCTTCACATATAAGAAAAAGCTAAAGGAGTTCATCATCACCAAAGCAGTATTATATGAAATGCTGAAAGGTATTCTTCGAAAAAGAGGAGGAAGAAGAAAAAGGTAAAGATAAAAATTATGAACAACAAATACATATCTATCAACAAGGGAATCTAATAATCAAGTGAATAGCCGAAACCGGTTTGGCTCAGTGGACAGAGTGTCAGCTTGTGGACTGAAAGGTCCTGGGTTCGACTCCAGTCAAGGGCATGCACATCCCCAGTGGGGTGTGTGTGTGTGCGTGTGTGTGCGTGTGTGTGCAAGGCAGCTGATTGGTGATTCTCTCTCATCAATGTTTCTAACTCTCTATCCTTCTTTCTGTAAAAAATCAATAAAATATATATTAAAAAAAATAAAAATCAAGTGAATAAAACAATCTGATGAACAGAATAAACTGGTAAATATAATAGAATCAGGGGCATAGAAAGAGAGTGGACTGACAATTCTTGGGGGTAAAGGGGTGTGTGGGGGGTGCAGGAAGAGACTGGACAAAAATCGTACACCTACGGATGAGGACAGTGTGTGTGTGGGGAGATAAGGGAAGAGAGTGGGATGGGAACCAGGTGGAGGAGAGCTATGGGGGGGGGGGGGGGGAAGAGGAACAAATGTAATAATCTGAACAATAAAGATTTACTAAATTAAAAAATTAAAAAGTATTAAACCTCCAAATTAATGAAGTATTATCCTCAAATAAATACTTGCTGATCAAAAAGGAGAGGAATCTATTTATTTTGAGAGACAATCATAGTGCCCTAACTGGTTTGGCTCAGTGGATAGAGCATTGGCCTGAGGACTGAAGGGTCCTAGGTTTGATTCCGGTCAAGGGCATGTACCTTGGTTGTGGGCACATCCCCAGTGGGGTGTGTGCAGGAGGCAGCTGATCGATGTCTCTCTCTCATCGATGTTTCTAACTCTCTATCCCTCTCCATTCCTCTCTGTAAAAAAATCAATAAGATATACTTTTAAAAAAGAGACAATCATAGTAACTCATTTTCTTTGAGTATTCAAACAGTCCCTGTTTTATCAAATAATTCTACAAAGCAGAAAAAAATTCAGACTTATAATTTCTCTCTGCTCTTTACTTACCCCAGCTGCCTGTTGGATGGTGGAGCCTGTGTGATGACAGAGGTTGGGGAGGGAAGGGTTGGGTGAAGTGGATCATAGCCCAAGTGGAGAGGCAGGGAGCCAGGGCGTACAATGGTAGGCGTTGGGGTAGATATCACAACAGACTTTGGGGCAATTTCCTGGGGGAGAAGAGACCAACAGATCACAAAGAGCTTTAAGGGGCTGTTTATAGAGAAATATGTAGCTGGTAAAATCTAGCACAAATTTATTGGAAAGAGCACAGAGCAAGTCATGTTGCTCTAGGGTCACAGACCATACTCACTCACACATTCAGTAAAAATGCTGAGTTAAGACCTTTTGGCTATTCCCCTTTCATCAGGGATGATGCCCATATGAATGAGATAACAGTTGAAAAATCACGTGAAATCTCTGTAGAAGCATTGTAGTATCATATAAATTCTAAAAATTGTTATACTTTTTCACAGTTTAGATAATGTCATTCTAAACTTGATACTGTCATTCTAAACTTTGTGTCCTTTGTTCTCTAACAGGAAATGGAAGGTACAGGTATAAGACTGGTGATAAGGCAACCCAATATCTTCTTTAAAAAAGGGCTATGGCCAAAGCCGGTTTGGTTGAGTGGATAGAGCTTTGGTCTGTGGACTGAAGGGTCCCAGGTTAGATTCCACTTAAGGAACATTGGTTGCGGGCACATCCTCGGTAGGGGGTGTGCGGGAGGCAGCTGGTCGATGTTTCTCTTTCATCGATGTTTTTAGCTCTCTATCCCTCTCCCTTCCTCTCTGTAAAAAATCAATAAAATATATATATATATTTTAAAAAAACGGCTATGGAAGTTTAAATAATGATCAGATTGTAATAAAACAAATGCTTCCCTCTGTTAGAATCTTAAGTTACCACACTGGCCATGAAAACATCTCCAGACAGCATCTAGGACCTGGTTGCTGATGAAAAGGAGAGAGAGGGGAAGGCTGCAATTTTTTTTGGTAGGGGTGGGGGAGTTGAGGTGGGGGAAGTGGTGGTGTAATGTTTATGGAGGGAATGGTTTTAGAAGTTATCAAACCAAATTTGGAGGGAAGTAAAATGATCTATAGATGCACTATTCAAAGTGGATATTAAAATTAATAACTGCTGGTAAAACAGTAGAGATTGGAAGGAGACATGAGGGGGCTTCTGAGGTTTTGATGATACCTGGGCACTAGTTATAAAGTCTATAAATTTAGTGAAAATTCAGTGAGTTGTATACTTACAATTTATGTACTTTTCTGTACATGTACTATATTTCAATAAATGTATAAAAAATACTTCTTAGCCAAAACCAAATTGGCTCAGTAGACAGAATGTCAGCCTGTGGACTGAAAGGTCCCAGGTTCAATTCCGGTCAAGGGCATGTACCTTGGCTGCAGGCACAACCCCAATAGGGGGTGTGCAAGAGGCAGCTGATCAATGTTTCTCTCTCATCGATGTTTCTAACTATCTCTCTCCCTTCCTTTCTGTAAAAAATCAATAAAATATATTTAAAAAATACTTCTTAAAATATTTTCTTAAAAATTTTTTCAGAATCCTAGCAGATATTAAGTCTCTAGAAGACTTACCTCCGGGAAAAATTTTTAAAAAACCTTTTAATGTCCAGTTTATAAACTGACTTTCTCTTTCACTTATTAATTAAAGTACTACATAGATACAGTAATGTGCATTGACTAACATAGAACTAAATGACTTTTTACATAGTATGTGAAATCAAGACAGCCCATTTCTAGCAACACGGAAGGTTCTCATGTATACCTTTCCTCACAAGAGGTTAAACATTATTCTGAATTCTATCACCATAAAATAATTTTGCATTTTCTTGAACCTGATGTCAATAAAATTACATAGTATGTACTTCTGCGTATGAATTTTGTTGTTGTTATTCAATATAATTTATGAAATTCATCATTATTGTGTATATCATTAGCTTATTCTTTTTTAATGCCATGTATTATTCCATTTTATAAATATACTATACTTGGTTAATTTTCTTGTTGATGGACTACTTCTAGCTTTTTTATTATCATCAATAAAACTGTTGTGAACATTCTCATACACTTCCTTGGGTGGACATACACACTAATTTCTACATGGACTTAGAAGTAGAACTGCTGGGTCATGGAGTAGATGTACTTTATATAAATCTTCTGAACAAATAACATTTATTTGAATATATTCCATCTTCTGTATCATACACTATACAGCTAATGAAGCAAAATGGAATCTATTAACATGTGGGGTGACTTCTGATAGAGACTTTTACCTTGTCCTTGAGCACCGGGGAGCAGGGGCTAGAGGCAGGGCTGTCAGGCGGGGATGAGTCTACCTCCACTGGCCCCTCTTCTTTGATTTTAACGTCTGGTGTGGAAGGCAGAGACATGTCAAGGGGCCCTGCAGCAGCCTGCTGAGAGAGAGAAATGAGCATAGTTTAACCTCAAGATTCCCTTCAAGTTGAATCTATATCTTCCCAATTAAAAGATGAGGGAATAGCCAAAACCAGTTTGGCTCAGTGGTAGAGCGTCGGTCTGCGGACTGAAAGGTCCCGGGTTCGATTCCAGTCAAGGGCATGTACGTTGGTTGCGGGCACATCCCCAGTGGGGGGTGTGCAGGAGGCGGCTGGTCGATGTTTCTCTCTCATCGACGTTTCTGGCTCTCTATCTCTCTCTCTTCCTCTCTGTAAAAAAATCAATAAAATATATTAAAAAAAAAAAAAAAAAAAGACAAGGGAATAAACTTCTAAGAAGTTTAGTCCTTGATCAAAGTGCCAAACTGCAAGTCAAAGAAATGTAAAGTCAAGGTTTATGTACAACTTCGGCCAAATCCTTTCAACTTCTCAGAGCTTCTGCTTCCCTATCTATAAAATGGAAATAACACCTGCTTCACCATGGGTGAATACTTAGAAAGATTCTGAAAGGGGAAAAATACTCACAATGCTTATAAAGACCCCGAAAGGAAAAAAAAAAAGGAGAAAAAAAAAAGATGTGATTTAAATCCAAGTATTATATTATTTTTCAGGAAAGTAAAATAATTCCTGAATCCAGTGCCTATCTTTTCCTAACCAGCTCAATTGGCCACTGGAGAATTGTGAACACTTTTTCTGCCAACCAGATGATAAATTATCCAATTATCAAAAGCAAATAAAGACAAATTGATGATTAAGGTACCGAAAACAACATAAGAAAGACCTTTTCTAGGATATGCCCCATGTTTAATGGTGATATCACCCCCAAATCTGGAGCTAGAAGCTAAAAGTTAGGAAGACAGGGCTTCAGGGTAACAGAAAGGAAAAGCTGATCACTTGATCCATGAAAGAAATGGGAAGTTGGTCCTAGGAGTAGGACTGGAGAAAACCAGAAAGAAAAGAGAGTACATTCCTAGCATTGGTGCCACCCACCTTACACAACCGTGGAGCCATAGGGGTTTTGCAGGAAAAAGAACAATCCAAGATGATGGCCCTGACACTGACAGGGGCATGAACTGATGGCACTGCAGTTCAGTTCTATGACTACGTCGGTCCTTTGTTCGAGTCTTCCTAAATCCTACAATTCTAGGTGAAAGAGGAGTTTGTTTCTAACTCTTTCCTTGCTACCTTAATCCCTAAAAATGTTCTTGGTAGTTGAGCAAATTGAAGTTAGTCTGATGTCTACCACAGTAGAGAAGGTGGTAATGGTTCTTTTTCTCCAGTATGATGGAGGTTAGCAATAGCAAAGATGGTTTCACTTCTGCCCTAATTTTTTCTACATTTCTAGGATATCAGGCTCAACTGATCTAATCCTGGGATCCCTGAAACCAGGTGGTGGGAGGAGAGGCCTCTCAACCACAGGTTTAAAGTCCCTCTGGGGCATCTCCCAGAAAAGCTGTGATTCAGGAAAGCTGTGGGCTCATCAAACTCCCCTGGAGATAACCTTACATTGAACCTGTGCTTCTCATCAAGGTGAGGGGAAGACAGGTAGGAGGAGATGCCAAGAGATACTCAATGAGGAAAGCCTCACCAACTCTGAGAGGCTTCTCAGAAGTGTCAACAGAGCAAAAATGGCCTCGGAGAAGACCTTACATTTTTCATGAGAGGCTAATTTTCTTGAATTTGCCTATAATGAGTTTGGTTTAAAATCCCTCACATTCTAGTGGGAACAATTTGACGTATTTCCCCCCCTTTCCTCCCTCCCTTACTTTCTTTTTTGTAATTCAGCTTGATCAATTGACTGATTTCTTTATTTTGGGGGAGGGAGAAATTATACCACCTATGATGAAACATCTGAAAAATGGGAGACTGCCCTGCCAGTGTGGCTCAGTTGGTTGAGCATCTTCCCATCCACCACAAGGTTGCAGGTTCAATTCCTGATCAGAGTCCATGCCCAGGTTGTGGGGTCGATCTCCAGTAGAAGGCATGTAGGAGTCAGCCAACCAATGTTTCTATCTCTCTCTCCCTCTTCCTTCCTCTAAAATCGACAAAAACATATTTTTTTTATAAAAAGAGAGACTTGTGTCTCCAAAGAAAAAGAAAGAGGTTAGTTCTGCCTTTTGAAAATAGAACTACAAATACACACCACTGAATTGCCCTGCCTTCTTTTAGTTTGAGTGAGGCAGCATAAAAAGAAACTTATAGAAAGCTATGGAATTTGTAAAGACTTTATCTCGTATTCTTACAATTTAAGCTAAATGGAAAAATCATGTACAATCCCTTTCAGAAGGAAACAGCTTTCCTGGACATTTTCTTTTCTTATATTCTGGTTCTGCTATATTCTGATGGGATTTCATGTCTTACTGTGTCATGCAATTCTGGAGCATACATGTGGTTGATGTGTACATGTTCTGAGATCATATACTGGAATTTTTCTGAATTATTATGGAACACATACTTGATTTTAAAGTGACCAATAACCCAGAATTTCAATTCTAAAGTAGAATGAATTTTGACCTTTTCAGTTTCCTTTTCCCTAAAATCCCTTGTACCATGGGAATTATTTTTATTTGACTCAGCTTCTTAAACTATTTCCTCTGATCTTCCAAACAGAAAGATTCTCTATAGATTTGGAATATAAAGTCTAAAATCAGAACAACAGCAACTGAGGATGCAAAGGCATTCCAGCATTTTAATCCTTTCCACAGTATCTACACGGAGTGACCTACATATAATTCAATGCACTCAGTGACAGCTTCCACCTGCTGGCCATACTTCTACCTTTGAGCCATAAAAATAAATTTAACCCTTCTTTTACATGAAAACTCTTCAAATATTTCAGACTGAACTTTTGTTCATATTAAGTCTTCTCTTTCCAAGAAAAACTTTTCTTTTTCTATAAATATTCCTAAAGTGACATAATTTCTAGTTCTTTCACCAGTCTAGATGATCTCCTTTGGAAAGCAGTAAGAACATCCCTCTTCAAGAAAACAGTTCACCAGAGGACTTGTGTGCATGCATATGGGCCTGGCCAGGGGCCATGGACAACGGTGGGAAAGAAGCGGGGGTGAGAGTTTATGTAGGGAGGGGTTTGGGATGGGATTCGGGGGATGAGGGCAATTATGTGATAGCATAATCAATAAAAAAAAGAAAAAAAAGAAAACAGTTCATTAGTGTTGTCCTGATAGCCAAGGTTGCAGGTTTGACCCACTAGTTAGTGCACATACAAAAATTAACCAATGAATATGTAAATAAGTGGAACGACAAATCGATGTCTCTCTCTTTCTCAAATCAATCAATACATAAAAAGGAAAACAGGCAGAACAGTCTTCACAAAGAGTTGCTGTGGTTTCCTGCTTCAACAGTGCTTGCATGGAACCAGTACTGTCCCCCATCCCAGCCAGCTGCCCAGATCCAGCTTTCCACTACCTCCTCACGCACCCTGGGATTGCCCCAAGGCCCCGCCACCACTGCTCCAATGCCACCCCTCCACCTCCTCAGCCACCCAGCCTGAGGATCGTGTCCACCTCACAGGCTTGCCAGAACTGCCACCTAGACTTGGAGGCCTCCATCGACTGCCAGATCCACCTGGAGCTCTATGCTTCCTACACTACCTGTCCATGTTCTCCTAGTTTGACTGTGATGATGTGGCCTTGAAGAACTTTGCCAAATATTTTCTTCACCAATCTCATGAGGAGAGGGAACATGCTGAGAAACTGATGAAGCTCCAGAACCAACTTAGGTGGCCGAATCGTCCTCCAGGGTATCAAGAAACCAGACCTTAGTGACTGGAAGTTTGGGCAGAACGCAATGGGGTGTGCATTACACTTGGAAAAAAGAGTGAATCAGTCACTACTGGAATTGCACAAACTTGCCACTGACAAAAAATGCCCTTCATTTGTTTGACTTCATTGAGACTCACTACCTGAATGAGCTGGTAAAATCCATCGAAGAACTGGGTAACCACATAACCAACCTTAGCAGGTTGGAGGCCCCTAAAACTGGCATGAAGACAGACTTGTGTTGATCCATCATGCGGACCCTGAAAGACCGGGGTGGCTGACTAGGATTAGTGGGTATTCTCTGTTTCTATAGAACCAAACCTGTAATTCTGCTTTAACCAATTAAGCAAATTATCCCAGGCACAATGAGAATAGCCTACATTTGAACACCACCGGTTTTTCAGTAAAATCCCGCCTCTCACCTTTTTCTCATCCTCATCTGAAGCTTTCTTGAATTCATGTTCAAAGGAGCTAGCTAGTTCATTGAAGAGCCCCACCTCCTCACAGTTCTTCAGGAATCTGGTTGGAGTAGGAGTTTGATCTGTAGACATGAAGAGAAAGAAAATTCAATTTTAGTTTTGACCTCAAATTAAACTTGGGAGTATGCAGAGAGCACATTTCATTCTATCTGGAGAGAGTCTCGTTGTTAGGGCAAATTTGCTTTTTGGATCTCTAGTTGGTGAAGGCTGGTGCTAGGCCACCAGAGGGTGTCTGTGCTGTGTTGCCTCAAGGCCAGCAGAGGGAAGACAGAACAATGTTTTGCTGTGTGACCATCCATGTAACCACCTTTCTCCCAGAGGCTGGTTTCACCTCCCTCACCCCCAAACCAAACCAAACCAAACCACCCACCCAGGTAGAGCTTGTGAAACCTTTAGATCTAAAAACTAAGTAAAGTTAAGTGACATTTTCTCTTTAAATATATTCCCTGCTAGGTCTGAAGTGAGCAGTTATAAGCAGATGAATGTTAAAATCTGAGGAGGAGAAGAAACTGAGGCTCAGGTGGTAGTTTGTTTGCTAACACTACCAAATGAGAAATGGTGCACTGCCTTTCAGTGATCACTGCAGTAAGGTCTGTTACCTTCTAAAGGCATTTCAGGCAAATCTAGGGGCTAGGGAACAACACAGCAAGATCATGAGCTAGAAAAGGAAACTGCAAACAATAGAACAGAAACCTGGGCCCAGAGTAAATTCCGGAAACCAGGATATTTGGATTTAGACTTGCCAGCCAAAATATCCTCTTAGGGGCTGCACAAATCTCACCTCAACACAGTGCCTCTTCTACCCTTGGGATGAAGAAGGCTCTCCGTAACCCATGGCAACATTTTAAGCAACCCGAATTTTATTTATTTATTTATTTATTTATTTATTTATTTATTTATAAATGTTTAAACCTGTTGTTTTTTTAAAATATATTTTTATTGATTTCAAAGAGGAAGGGAGAGGGAGAAATAGGAACATCAATGATGAGAAAATCATTGATTGGCTGCCTCTTGCATACTCCCTACTAGGGATCAAGCCTGCAATCCAGGCATGTGCCTTTGACCAGAATCAGTCTGCAGGCCAACGCTCTATTCACTGAGCCAAACCAGCTAGGGCCAAGCAGCATGAATTTTAGATTTGAACTTCTCTCTCCTCATTCTGTTTATCCAGTTTTTCTCTTAGGTCAGCTGAATCTTGTTCCCTGATCCTAACTCTTTTAAATATATTTTTATTGATTTTTTACAGAGAGGAAGGGAGAGAGATAGCTAGAAACGTCGATGAGAGAGAAACACTGACCAGCTGCCTCTTGCACACCCCCTACCGGGGTTGTGCCCACAACCAACGTACATGCCCCTGACCGGAATCGAACCTGGGATCTTTCAGTCCGCAGACCAATGCTCTATCACTGAGCCAAACTGGTTTCGGCCTGATCCTAACTCTTTTAGATAGTTTTCCTTGACATGATAGTTACCTCATGGATTCATCTCATACCCCAAAGCACTAGGTTGAATGACAGAAATAGAACAATGTTTAAATAATATTTCAAGGAGTGACACCTAGTATTAAAATTGCTCCTTCTAGCATGATCAATTGGGAATAATCCAGTGGGATTTTCCATGGAAACAACATAATTAAAATTTTTTTTAAACAAAACCTCTTCTGAATCAGAGTGTTTGGAAAAGTTACCACTACTTCCCAAAATAGTTTTAAAAGCTTCTCTGGCAGCTTTGGTTGGCCAACAATAAAGCCACTTTCCCTCCATCCCTGGGTGAGTAGAGGTAATATCATCCTTTATGCTTAGAGAGCACTTCAGTAAGGACACACAAAAAATTACCACTCAAGTGAACCAGGATGGGGCAGCTAAGGGCATGGCTATGCAGAAGAGGGCCTTTGGATCTCTGATCTGAGGCTCATACAAACTTCTTCCATTCCTGAACAATGTATAAGAAAACCCTTAACCTGCTCAGATGATTCTGAAGCAATCAACAAGTGTTTACTGAATACCTTTTATCTTTTGGTGCTACATGCATACATTTGTGTAGAAATCTGGGGGAGAAGAGAAATATGAATATAGGAGTTTTGCCCAAATATAAAACATGGCTCTTGCCCTAGAGAATAAGAATACTTTCTAGATGAGGAAATAAAACAATTATACATAGATAACATCATAGTATACAAAAGTCATGAGCAGTAGAAAAATAAACTTATTGCAGAAATTAAATGAAGATAAATTAATGACAAGTGGTTAGGAGGACTTGAGTTGGGTCTTACAAGAATGGCTTCAGGTGCTAAGGTGGGTGAAGGCATAGAGAGAGGCAGGGCATGGGCATTATGTATATTTGAGAAGAAAAAGGTATGTCTAGGTCAAAGGATAATTATGTTAGGTATATTAGTTGTATATAAAGTTGGGCAGGTACCATGGGGCTAGGTTACAGAAGGTCTGAAAATCCAAGTATGAATAGCCTTAAAGTAAGAGAAAATGGGAAAATGACAGATTTTGCGGGGAGGAGAAGAATTTAAGGAAGATTGGTTTTTTTAATTTATTGATTGATTTCAGAGAGGAAGGGAGAGATGGAAACATCAATGTGAGAGAGAATCATTGATTGGCTACCTCCTGCATGCCCTCTACTGGGGATCGAGCCTACAACTCAGGCATGTGCCCTTGACCAGAATCGAACCCGGGACCTTTCAGTCCGGAGGCCGATGCTCTATCCACTAAGCCAAACCAGCAAGGGCGGGAGATTGGCTTTTTAATAGAATGAAGATAGATTATATAATAGACTAGTCAAGGAGAGAGACCAGGTAGGAGACTATGGAGGAGAATTCAAGCACAATGAGGGTAGTGGCAGGAAGAACAGGATAGAACAGAAGAGAGAGAATCTGAAGAGAAAAATAAAACAACTCAAAATTTTGAGAATATCATCACTGAATAACAAAGGAAAAGAAGTTGGTTTAGAGGACAGAGATAAATTTGGTCATCGACATGAAGATTTGTATGACAGAAAGCCAGCCAAGCTAAGTGTTCAATTAGGGGTTGGAATACATGTGAGACACCAAGTCATAATTTACAGATATGAGAATTAGCAGCCTAGATAGAATAGCTGAAGTTATGTGCAATGGGATGAGCATTCCAGAACAGCATGTAAAAAATAACAGAAATCACTTTCTCTCCTGGGGACTTCCTGTATCACTTTCTCACCACTCCTGGAGACTCAGCATAGGCCTTTACACCATTTCAATAACCTCTCCAACTTGATAATCTTGCCTCAAATTTACCTCTTTCATAAATTATCTATGACTAATTCCATTTAATATTAATTATCTTAGTATTTTTGTTTGTATTATTCTCTTTTAAAAAATATATTTTATTGATTTTACAGAGAGAAAGAGAGAGGGATAGAGTTAGAAACATCAGTGAGAGAGAATCATAAAAAAGCTGCCTCTTGCACAGCCTCACTGGGAATGTGCCCGCAACCAAGGTACATGCCCTTGACCGGAATCGAACCCGGGACCTTTCAGTCCGCAGGCCAACACTCTATCCACTGAGCCAAACCGGTTTCGGCTTTGTTTGTATTATTCACTTATATTAAACTACAAATACTAAAATTATTTTCATGAATATATGACCTGACTTAATAAATTTAAGTATGTTACCTGAATATGTTAAATCCTATAGTCACTCTTTTGTCTAAAACCTCCACTAGCTTCCTTCTTTTTTAAATTTACATTTTTATTTATTGATGAGAGAGAACATCAATTTGTTGTTCCACTTATGTATGCATTCATTGGTTGCTTCTTTTAAGTACCCTGACTGGGGATCAAACCCAAAACTTTGGCATATTGGGACAATGCTCTAACCAACTGTGCTATGCAGCCAGGGATCCCCTGAGCTTTCTTCTTCTTCTCTTTTTATTTTATTTTATATTTTATTGATTTTTTACAGAGAGGAAGAGAGAGAGATAGTGAGTTAGAAACATCGATGATACAGGAACATCGATCAGCTGCCTCCTGCACACTCCCCACTGGGTGTGTGCCCACAACCAAGGTACATGCCCTTGACCGGAATCAAACCCAGGACCCTTGAGTCCGCAGGCGGATGCTCTATCCATTGAGCCAAACCGGTTTCGGCTTCCCCTGAGCTTTCTTAAGGGTCATTAAAGATCTCTACTCATGTCCTTTTTCAGGAATTACAAGCTTCTAGCAAAGTAGATATTCAGTCAATATTTGCTTCATTAATAAGGAATTGGAGATCTGTAAGGGCAAATACCTTTCTTCATGTATAGAAGTATGGAGAGAGGGGTTAAATACTGATGCAAGCTTGCTTAACTCAGGCTAAATCAGAACCCCTCATGGTATTGAAAGAAAAAGCCCACTTTGGTTTGTATGTTTATCTAGCTGAAAATGGCACAACAGAACTGTTGCTACATGGTTTGAGAGACTTTGCTGAGAATGGTCCCTAGAGATGGCATATGTAAGCAAGACAAATTCTAAACAACCAGTGAGAGGTTCCAGGTCACCCAAATTGGCACAGAAAAGTCCCACTGACAAATGTCTTGTTTGAACTTTGGAAATGTGCCCTCAATGGTGTCTGGGTTCACAAGGGAAACTGAATTTATGAACTGACAATCTGCCTGCTTGGGGAAAACTGACACCCAGTGGATAAGAAGCAGCCAGACGAGGTCGGCTTCCCTGCTTTTGTTCTCCCCTTCATTATGGGTAGGGAGAAATGTCAAAGGCATCTTCTGTCTATAAATCTTCTAAAGTCTTAATAAAAAGAAGGCAAGGAGGAAACAGACTGAAAAAAAAAAAGCTAAGACAAAACCTCAACACACCTACCCTCAAAAACCGAAGAACCCAATCTTGTATTAAAAATAGAGAGTAGAGGGCACAATAGAAACTTGGGAGCTTTTAGTGTTCCTTTTTCCTGATTAAATGCAGATCACATAAGGGCTCTTAATGGGAGAAGGGGAGGGTAGCTCCCAGTACATCTGGTCCCTGGTATTAATCTTAACTGTCGGGCGATATCAAGGCATGTGGCTTCTGGGGTAGCAAATACCTGCAATGATGACTGAGTCAGTTCGGGCTGGGCCAAATTTCAATGTCATCTCATGCTTGTGTTTATGAACTGCCAGGTGGTCCTCGTTTGTAAATCTCTGAAACGAAACAGAAATGGAGATGTGTAAAAACAACAACAACAACAACAACACTTCAGTGCCTGTTTAAAATGTCCTACCAAACATCCTATGATAAGGTTAGTTGCTGGAAAGAGGGATTGAACAGGGACTGGAAAGGAGGCAAAAATTGGAAGTGAGGGGAAAGGAGAGGTGATAGATTTAAAAAGAGAAAATGGGGAGGAGAAAAAGAGGCACTATAAAGCTGGGAGGAGAGAGGAAGGGGCAGAGTGTAGCACCAACTGCTCTGTAATATTAGGTCCAAATGAGAGAAATGGACAGACTGTTGCTGAAGTGGGATCCAGGCAGGAGGCTTCAAATGGGGGGGAGAGGGAGGGGACAAAAACATTAAGGCAAACTTATAGTGAACAAGGGGGAAATAATTTTTAATAATAATAATAAAGAGAGAAGGGAAAGGCTGGGCACTCATTGGTCACCACAAAAATAGGAAATTCAGAAGTAAGCTCTCCATGGTGGGGCTGAAATGGACTATTTATGAGGGGGTAACAGGGAGATAAATTATGCAGGATTAGGAGAACAATTTAACTTCCTGGCCCCACAATGCTGCAGCAGGAGCCTGCCCAGCTATTTGGCTCAGGGTTTTAATGAGTCAGGATGGAGCCGTAGAGGACAGAGACCCAATGGCCAGCAGTAATGGCACACACCAGCCCCATTGGCCAAATGCTGTCTCCCCTCACTGGGCAGCCCGCCTGGGCTCCGCGAGCCATAAAGGGGCCAGAGCTGTGCTGCTGGCTATGGAGTGGCAGAATAAAAACGCAAGCAGAATTTGTTTTTTTTTGTTAGGGTAGGGAGAAGCCAGTAGGCATGATAAGGGGAAGGGAAAAGAAGATGGTATAGAGATTTTATTTATTTAGGGATTTGGGTGAAAGGACAATGAAAAGGTGAGGCTAGGTCTGCCTCAGTTTATGACTAAATAAGACAGGGTTACTGAACAATAATTTATGCTCGGACCTGCTCTTTAAAAGGGGGAGGTGAAGAGAACAGATGAACAGCAGTAATTCAAAAGAGTGATATCCTCAACATTCCTTTTGAGGCTGGCTGGCCACATTCCCTCATTAAAACACACCTACAACACATAACAGCGTGGACGCTGCAGCTTCTTACAGTTCCTTCACCAGCTAGGCTCTGAAACACACTCCTTTTGTCTCTAAAAAAAACAAACCTGATTGGTTAGTTCCCTCTTTTTACTCGCTTCATTAAATATCTATTTCCCTCCAAACACTGTACCTTTAGTCCTCTTTTCCACAGCTCTTCTTCTTTAAATTGATTTTAAAGAGAGAGAGGAAAGGAGAACTACATAGAAAGAAATATCAATCTTTGTTGTTCCACTTATTTATGTATTCATTGGTTGATTCTTGTATGTTTCCTGACCAGGGATCAAACCTGCAATCTTGGCGTATCAGGATGATATTCTTAACCAACGGAGGTACCTGACCAGAGCCCCTACAGCTCTTCCTTTTTAAAAAAATATATTTTATTGATTTTGTACAGAGAGGAAGGGAGAGAGATAGAGAGTTAGAATCATCGATGAGAGAGAGTCATCGATCAGCTGCCTCTTGCACACCCCCTACTGGGGATATGCCCGCAACCAAGGTACATGCCCTTGACCGGAATTGAACCCGGAACCTTCCAGTCCCCAAGCCGACGCTCTATCCATTGAAACAAACCGGTTTCGGTCCTACAGCTCTTCTTGTTTGTAAACTAAACAGAGAGGAGTTAGCCTCATCCCAGCTACTATCAAGTCAAGTAAGCATCATTAAATTGTTTAAGTCCTTTATTTTACCTGAAAGTTGGCTTACCCCAAGTTTTCTCTGAGCCCCTATCACGACTAAAGCCAGCTTAAGACCTAAAATCCTTCTGTTATAGGTCAGGTGCACAGGCCTGAAGGACAAAGGGAAATTTCAATGAAAAGTATAAAGGCCCAGGTTGGTGTAGCTCAGTTGGTCGAGCATTGTCCCATGCACCAAGAGGTCACTGGTTTGATTCCCAGTCCGGGCATGTGCCTGGTTGCAGGCTCCATCCCCAGTAGGATGTGCAGGAGGCAGGCGATCAATGCTTCTCTTTAACATTGGTTTCTCTCTCTTAAAAAAAAAATTGTTTTTAATCACTAAAAGCATAAAGAACCAACAAATAAAACAAGTAAAACAGTCAAAAGAAGAATGTCTTAGTGGTTTCCAGTGAATCAAGTGTTGGGAAATTTAGCCAAGAGCTTTCATGTTCTCTACTAGTTGGTTAACCCTAGGCAAGAACTTTTTCCAACACAGCTTTTTCCTTAAGGAAAAAAGGATGGGGTAGGGTGAGAAAGGAAGGAATAATAGTCTGTTACCCACGATATGATATTTATTGGTTAAACAAGTCACTGAGACTGCCAAGTGGTCTATAAAAGGAAAAGAGCAGAATCTAGTCTACAATAGAGAAAAAGTACCATTTTGGAGGGAAAAGAATAGTAGTGAACTAGACAGGGGTATAAATTTTCAAAATGCACTGGAAATGTTGTAACAATCTTTTCCAAAAGTATGTTTATAAATTCTTCAAGAAAATTTCATGTAGGGAGCTTGGAAAATTCTGCACAATGTTTTAGAATCTAGAAGACTAACTTTGAAACAGAAAGTATTTTTCTATTATCAGAAATACAGTTTGCTCAAAACTGAGCTGAGAGAAAGATTTTAAACCTCCATCAGGCTTTGCTCTGATTAGGATGGTTTAATATTTTAAAAAGCAACTCCCCTTCTGTTACAACTCTGCGGCACAGTCCTGACTTGTTTTGTTTGTCCTCTAGCTCTTGTTCCTCTTTGCTGCACCTCGCTCCCTTCTATGACATCCTTTTATTCTTGAGCTATTTATTTTTCCCCAAATCAAAAGTTGGGGCTGAAGAGAACTAAAGGTGGTGAAGAGAGCTTCCACCATTAGCATCTCAGAGGGGTTGATAACTGTGAAAATGGATAGGGAAAAAAAATTTCATCTTAATTCTCATAAATTCTATCTGAAACCTAACACGCCTAATTCAAAATAGCAATCACACATATTTTCATATCATATTACAGCTATTAAAAATCTCAAAATATCCTTTATACTCATCACTACTTTGAAATGACTACCATTAGAACTTGCTATTTAATGGATTACTAAAAAACCACATATATTATATTATAAAATATTTAAAAAACATTTTTGACAACTATCCTATCTAATAAAGAGGAAATATGCAAAATGACCACCACACCTTAACAATATAGCTGTGCACACAGAGGAGGCAGGGATTCCCTAACACAAGATGGCTGTGCCCATAGCTGAGGCCGAGTTCCTGAAATGAGCCTTAAAGAGCAGGGGCCTGAGGCTGTGCCTCCCGGCCTGATGGACCTCAGGTAAGGCCGAGCAGGACTTGACGGGGGACCTGAGGCCATGTCCCCTGCCTTGATGCCAGGCCGGGGGACTTGAGGCCATGCCCCTGCCCCAGTGCCGAACTGGGGGACCTGAGGCTGTACCCCCCCACCTGGCAGGGCTTGACGGAGCTGGGGCCAGTCAGGTCTGAATTTTGTGTAATTTTGAGGCACACATAGGTGGGTGGGGACTTGACTCTGATTCTCATGGTGCACCCCAGACTCTGGCAAGGAGGAATATTTTCATATACATTTTACTAATTTTCTTTCATCTCCGACAGGAAGGGCAAATAACAATATTAAAATATTTCCTCTAATTAATTCCCTTTTAATGTATATAAATTTCATGCAATGGGTCACTAGTATTTCAAAATAATTGGTTTCCTTTGTAATCCTATGTATTACACTTTATTAATTTTAAAACATGATTTTGAGAAGGGGTTTATGGCTTCACCAAACTCCCAATGGGGGTCATGACACCACAGAAATTAAGAATCCCTGATTACACCTGATAGTGTACACAGGAAGAGGACCAAAATGGGCTGAATTTTACAAGGCAGGGCTCCAGTCATCTGTCTCTGCTATTTCTTTCTATTTATTTATTTATTTATTTATTTATTTATTTATTTTATTCTATTTTAGAGAGACAGAAATACAGAGAGAAAAGCACAGATTTGTTGTCCCACTTATTTAGCATTCACTGGTTGATTCTTATATCTGTCCTGATTGGGAACTGAACCTACAATCTTGGGGTATGTATTTTTTTATTTTTAAATATATTTTATTGATTTTTTACAGAGAGGAGGAGAGAGGGATAGAGAGCTAGAAACGTCGATGAGAAACATCGACCAGCTGCCTCTTGCACACCCCCTACTGGGGATGTGCTCTCAATCAATGTACATGCCCTTGACCGGAATCGAACCTGGGACCTTTCAGTCCACAGACCAACGCTCTACCACTGAGCCAAACCGGTTTCGGCTATCTTGGAGTATTCGGATATTGCTCTAAATAGCTGAGCTATTCTGCCAGGGCTCTCTGATATTTCTAACACAATTCTTGTACAGCTAGAGTAGGAGGGGGAGAATAAAAGTTTAGTAAAGCTTTTTATCAAAGTGAATGTCAATTTGGCTTTTATTCCATTGTTCTTTATATTCCCTCTCATTATTAAGAGTTAATTCTTTTAAAAAATATTTTATTGATTTCTTACAGAGAGGAAGAGAGAGGGATAGAGAGTTAGAAACACCGATGAGAGAGAAACATCGATCAGCTGCCTCTTGCACACCCCCTACTGGGGATGTGCCCACAATCAGGGTACATGCCATTGACCGGAATCGAACCCAGGACCTTTCAGTCCGCAGGTGATGCTCTATCCATTGAGCCAAACCGGTTTCGGCAAGTGTTAATTCTTAATAATTCTCTAGATTAGTCTTGAACTGCATGCTTAGGAAACTATCCCTCTGTAAGCAAATTTTCTAAGTACCTAAAATTATTAGGTGATGAAATGTTAGTTGTGTTTTTAAAACACATTGAATTACAATGAGTGGAGGAGCTCTCCCCAAAATTTCCTTTTTGAATTATTGG